GAAAATCCTAAAAAAGGGTTTCCCAAAAAATAAACCCCCGTTGGGTTTTTAAAAACCCGTAAAAACATTTTCTACGACACCCTTTTTATGTTTTAAAAAGCTACCATGATAGTACCAGTATAGTTTTCCCCAGAAAGACAAAACCCCACTTATTTCCTACGAGCACCATTCATGGGTTTTAAATGGGTCCATAAAAGTACCAGTATTGTGTTTAGAAAAAAACAATCCCACAGAAAAAAACGTTATTTCGCTTTTAGAGCAATCAATAGACCAAATTTCATTTATTCTTAGTCCCACCTGTCAAAAACCTTTTGGGATTTCAGGTCAAAGGAAAAAATTCTTCTTTCCACAAAACATTCTGAAAAACGTTTTTTTCCATGAAAGAAATTTAAAAATTTTCTTGTGCCCCCCTTTATAGCGGGCTTTTCGTATGGATTCCCAAAAGCTAAACCAAAAAGATTATGCACCATGATCACCATTCCGTTTCCTCAAATTGGGAGTGGCCCCCATTTCACCTATGTTGGGCAAGTTTAAATGCCTGTCCCTTTAAATGCGAAGGGACGCCTCATAAGGGATAATTTTTCTAGGGCTTCTTCTTTTAGAAAAAAATTCCCCAGATGGCCCAAAGGGCTTTAACCCCGAGGGCAGATTTAGTTGGGGGATCGTTTGGGATTTGTTGGGGTTTGGGTAATGTGCACAGTTGTAAAAATGAAATTGGAGTAGTCATTTTGTAGTTGTTTCCCCGTGAAGTTCCCCCCAATTTTTTTTCTGGGCTACTCATTTTGCTAGGTCTCCCGAAAAAGCGTTAAAAAAAACTTGTTTAACCCCAAAAAAATTTTCGAAAATGACGAATCTAGATTTTTTGTACTTTTTCCATTCTTGTGAAAATTTTGTCTCGAGAAGACCAAAATTTATATTTTGTTGCAAGAAGGTAAATTTACAACCCGATGGTCCCTATAAATCCGTTACCTTTTAAAATTTTATTCCCGTTTACCCATTAAGGATCCTTACTCCCTTATTTTCCCTCTTTGGTTTAGTTGGGAAAAAAACTTGCCAAAAGGGTGAAATATACCAAACCAAATACTGCATTTTTTGAAACCCTTAAACAAGAAGGGTTTTGCTAGGGTCCCCCTGGAAAAATATTGACCGTTTAAAGGGTTTGGGCCCCGTGTGGGATACCAAAACCATGGTGGGGTTCCATCCGCAAAAAGCCTGCAAGATCAGGGGTTTTTGACTGTAAATTTCTCAGTTAAGGGTAAATCCTTAATGGGCTTTTAAACCCCGGGGCCAATTTTAAAGTAAACTATGGGGTTCTTTTTAGATTTAAGGGAAAAGGGAAATTGTGGCCTTCACCTTTCGACAAAAACAAAAGTTTCCCCCAATTTGGGTAAAATAGGAAAATTGGGATTTTTGGTTTTGGGGGTGGAAGGATAGGGTCTTAAAATTTTGGTGGATGTTGAAAAATATCACATGAATGCCCCCTTTTTTGGGGCGGTTTTGTCCCCGGATGTTCAAATTTTTCTCTTAAACAGGGTGCTTTGATTACGAAGCTGGTTTGGGGGCTGAAATTTTAAATTTTATCAGGGGAGATTTTATGTTGATGACGGATTTAAAATCCTGCCCTCCCCTGAACGATCCCAAATTTGTTTTTATAAATCGAGCAAAGAAATGTTGCAGTAAAGCTGGTTTCAAATTGGGACAAGTTTTAATCCAGCAAAGAAAGGGCTTAAACACATACCTGTTGATGAAAAGGTCTAGTTCCCTTTGAGAAAGTCATTTGTTTGGGGTTATTTTCCTGTTGGGGCGTACTCTTTTATACAAAAGTTGTGGAAAACGGAAAAACCCTTCCCGTTCCGTATCACCTTAAAAAAATTTCCCTTTTTTCCCGTCGTGGGGTTTTGTCCAATTGATTCCCGTTTATACCCTCTTGGCTTTCAGCCCCCTGTGATTTTGATAGGGAAACAGCTTTTCAGCAAATTGTGTGAAAAAACACTTTATTGGATATTTTTTATCTGATGATTTTAAGCCCCCCGGGGAATGGGACATTAATCTTGCCCGGTTTGCATTCCTTTTCAGTGCCAAGGGGTAAAAACCGAGAAATTTTGGTTCTTCGTGAGTAAACCCAATTAAAATTTAAATTTTAAAATGCAAGCTTTAAGGGTTTTGCCCGTGGGTCATACCTGAGAATGATAGACCTAAGAAATTTAAAGTTCATTGTTCGCTGTTGTTAGGGGAAATCAAAGTTCATCCCCCTTTAAAAAAAACAACAAATTTCCCCGGGCTAGAACTTACTGCAGCCGTGGGTTTTAATTAAAAGGTTTGGGAATTTGGGGCAGCTGGGAAATTTGACTTTGGGGTCAAAATTTTTTCCCAGTGGTTTTTACCCACCAAATTTAAAAATTTTTCTTGGTTTATATTTTCCAAAGACTCCCGTAGATTTTAACCCTCTTTTTCGCAAATAGAGTACAGAGATTCCGGGAAACCAATTTCAGAAGAAAAACATTTGGGAAAAATTTGTTAAAAAGCTGCAATCCCGCCGACATTGCATCTAGGGGCGTATGCTCAAGAAAAGGGTTTGAACCCCTTGGTTCACTGGGCCCAAAAATTTTTTGTGGAGCCTTTTAAAACCTTCTGTTAAAAGAAAGTACCCAGATCAGAAAATTGTCTCCCGTGACCAGAAGTTTAAAAAATCATTGTTCATACTTCTTTAGCCAAAAGTGCTCATTCCATATTTTTGAAAGAAAAGGGTATTTTTTTTATTGGGCTCTTGCAAAGGGGGCAATTTCGGGCTTCCTTTGTTAGGAAAAGCTTGGGCAAAATTCTACCCAAAAGGTGTTCAATGGCATGTAAAATTTTATCGTTTAGGGTGCGTTTAAAAAATTATATCCAGTTCAGGGGAAAAGAGGGTTAATCACCGAAAGAGAAAACATAAAAATTTGGGGCAAAAAAGGGTTTCAAACGATGAGCAAGCACGAAAATTTTTGCAGCATTTTCAAGTCTCAGAACAAAAAAATTTAAAAAAATTTTAAAACATTTTAAAGTTTTTCCCAAAAAAGGGTTTTTATTTTTAAGTTAGACCCCTTTTAAAGGTGGGGGAAATTTTCTTAAGTTGGGGGTCGTCCCAGCTAATTTGCAGTTTTTTTCTTAGCGAGACACAAAACCCCTTTCTTAAACCCCGGGAAAGGGAAAGAAACCTTTATCTGATTCTTTTGAATTTTCCCTGAGAGAGTAAAAAACCAAGGTGGGGAAGAAACCCTAAATGAAATCAGAGCAAAAGGGTTTTTGCTTTTTCGGGTTTCAAACTCTGCCCTTTTTTTCCCGAAATCTTGCCCGCTTTATTTGCCCCTAAAAATGAGAGGCTCATTGCCCAAAATACAAAAAATGGCCCAATTCCTTGATGAACTCGAACCCAAAGAATCCGTTTTAAATTTTTTGGTTGTAAATTTCTGGAAACCCTTTTACCTTTTAAAAAAAGGGAAAAAGAACTTTAAAAAATTTGGGGTTTTGTTTACGGGCTCTGGGTTTTTAAGCCCTGCATGTAAAAGGGAAACAGTTCTTTTTAAAACGAGTCCTTTTTAAAAGCTCTTCTTTGTTTGGGTCAAAATTTGTGGTTTGGGTTTGTTTTTCCAAGATCTGACCGGGGGCCCAAATTTTTTAGAGACAGAAAGAGCTCAAAAACGCCCTTTTTTTAGAAAGAATTTTTGACCCAAAAACCCTCACTTTTCTAAATTTAAAAGAGGGGGGGGACTTCCCATTTAATATGAACGTTCTTTCCCAGCCAATGGGGGGCAAATTTGGGGGGCGCCGAATTCCGCTCGGTTTCGCAACCCTTTTATTTCCCCTTTAAAATTTTTAAAAAAGGGGCACAAATTTGGGTGAAGAAGCCTTTCCCAAATTTTATGTGCGAACCCCAGCCCTTGGGTTTAAAGTCCCTCCGATTTCTGTTATGATGTGAAATCCTTTTTTCTGCTGAACCCCTAACGCCAAATCCCCTTTTTACTTTAAATCCAAGATCATTTGCAACCCTCCCGGAAACAAAAAAAAAGCCCCATTTTTTTTCCAGAAAACATTGGGCCAGGGAAACCAATATTTGGGAATGAGTTCTGGTTAGATGGAAACGGGAAATACTTAAAATAACCCTTTGGGAAAGGGTAAAAGGTTCCTGCTCGGGCCGAAAACTTTGCGTTGGTGATGTCGTTATGATTTTTTTACGAAAACCTCCCTAGAGGTCAATGGGGATTTGGAATGGTTTTTTGAGGTTTTTCCCAAATAAAAATGATAGTAAAAAAAAAGGGCAAGGTAAAAAGTAGGGCGAACCCGGGTTTAAAAAAAAGGCAACAAAAAAGAAATAGAAATTTCTTAAAAAAAACCTGTTTATAAACTATTCTTTTTAGAGGGGACCGAGGGGATTCCCCCGTTTGAAGGCCAGTTAATATCCCTTTGATTTAAAAATTTTTTTTTCTTTCTAGCATTATATTTTATTTTTAAGATGCCCAAAAGTTTAAAATCGATCAAATTTCGTCAGAACAATTTTTTTAAAAAGCGTTTTATAATTAATTCCCCTTAAAATTTTTTTTGTTGTTTTTAAAAATTTTGTAATCCCAAAATTTTTTGGAAACCCTGTTGAAAACCCGGGCGCGTTTGGGTTTTGGGAAAAATTGGGTTATGGGGAAACATATTTTTTTCCCCACGTAATTTTCCCCCCCTTTGAAAATTTTTTGCGGCATTTGTAAAGATTGTTTAAAAGTTTTGGGGAAAAAGGCCCTTTGAAAAGTTTTTAATTCTAAATAGTGGCCCAAAAAGGGTTTTTTATGGGAGGTTTTTGTCATTTTATAAAAATTTTACTTATTTTTTTTAAGTATGTATTGTTTGCATTTCGAAACCCAAAATGTTTTATAAATTTTTAAAAATTCCCGAATTCGAAATTTTGTTTTGTTTTTTAGTTTTTTACGTTTGGGATTCGGGAAAAAAACAATCGAAATTGCGGGAAAAAAACTAACCTTTCCGTCAACATAAACAACATAAGCCACCAGTGGTTGCCCATTCCAGTCATGAAATAAAACAAGCCATACACCATCATAAACACTTGACTGTAACGTATCACTTTAAAATACCCAAACCTGCCAACTATACCGGTACCAAATATCACTACCATCTAAAAATAAAACATATAAACATCTTTAATGTTAATACTTAAAAACTTTGTATACTGAAAACTGCTTTATCACCGAGAATAAACTCGACAAAACATTTTTGTAACAAATATGTTGATGTCAGCTAGTGTTCTAGAAAAACCATGTTGATGCCAGTATTTAGTAAATAAATTTATAATTAATGTAGAATAAAATAAACTTTACCTTTGGAACAGCAGAACTGGCTCCATAAAACAAGCTCCGTACAACCGATGGAATGGCACCTTTTACTATCAACTGGTCCGCAAATATTGCAAAAAAGTTCGATACGAAAGTCCGATGAAATTCTTGAAAAAAGTTCGTTATAACAAAAGCAAGAAAGTCCCTGTTAAATAGTATTTGCTTGGTAAGTGTGAAATAGGAGTATTCTTGTGATTTTATAACTTTAGGTTTCCCACATTGCACATCTTTCTCTTGTTGAATTTCCCTTTCTGTATGTGCATATTTGCCGCAGTAGATATACAGCGAGCAACTTAAAACAGCTACAGCGACACAACCTCCTTGAAAAGCTTGGAAATTCTCTAATTGATTTGACATGTATTGCAAAATAAAAATACTTGACGAACCAACCAAAGACCCAATATGATTGTACCTTATCATTTTTAGTCTTGCTTCATTATCAGACGCCAGTTCCGTGAATAAACAGCACGCAGCTAATCCAATGTATGTATACATTGTGTCCCAGAAACATAAAGCAGTTATCAGATGAATTCCAGTAACCCATGGCTGCAGAGTCTCTGGATCTCCCCATGGAAACCATGGCACAAGGAATGAGAGAGCAAATAATGGAGCTGCGTACAAAACACTTTCACGTCGAGTTCTTGAGAACCGAAAATTTGTACTGTCTTGACAATATGCAAACAAAGGGTCGTTAATGGCGTTCCAAACCATGAAGAGTGTCTGTGACAGTTGAAACCAGCTTTCTTCTATATGGTAATGGTTTAAGAACACTTTAACATAATAAAAGGTGAAAGCTGAGTTAACCAGACTTAATCCAAAAGATGAAGCTGCGAGCGCAACTATTCTCGTATGCAATGATGCTCCTGACGTCATGTTTTATGTATGTACAGTTAAATTTTGTAGTTGAAAATTCCCAAAAAATTAAAAATCATGTACAAATTGATTTCGGTTATCTCAAAAAGCATCCCGCTATTTGTATCAATATTGAAGTATAATAAAGCTTAGTTTAAAATTTAAATAAAATTTAAAACCATTCACGATAAAAATTTTAAAATTTAAAACTTTTATAAAATTAAAATTTTGTATACACGTAAAATTTTCCCCAAATTTAAAAAATGGGGTATTTTTTATAATTTTTAAGCAAGTGTATGAAACTAACATCAACATACATATAGTCAAACCTGCGAACAAAGGGCCCACCCAAGGCAATGACAAATGACCTTTATTTGCAGGGTTATCTTTATTGAGAAGAGGTCTTTAACACAGGCTTGCCTGTATATCATTGTTAATATTGCTCGTAATGCGTTTGTTGTTATTTAAACTTATTAACAATATAAAATTAAACACAAGGAAAATATGCATTTATTCATAGTTTCCTTGCTATACATTTGTAATACATGTAAACAGCAATTACAAAATATTCTACATTGAAAATTCAAACTATCTAATATTCAGGAGAAATTGCAGTAAAACCTTTTCCTGCTTAATCAGGGGATACAAATCACCAGTATCATGGCGAGTTTTAATTAATTTAACAACCCAACTATAGATCGTGTATTTAATTATTCTAATGTTAAGGTTTTTTCCTTGTCTATTATTCACTATAGTTTATATTATTAACGTGTGTAAAATGCATGACTGCGTATAAAACAGCTTACGGAATGTACAATTTTTAAACTTCCTCAAAGGTTTAATGTAAATAAGGTAAAAAGTACAAGCCAACATAACATTAAAACTAAAAGTTTACTTTAAACCATATACCTTGTATTCACGCGTGAAATATATTAAAATTAAAACTAATATTATTACCTTTGATATGGTACAATCCGAGGAACTGTGTAAACTATAATATAAAACTATTTGTCCCCGACTGGAGTTCAATAAAAAGTCTAATGGGCGGTTATTGATTAAGTCTGTGTGCACATTGTGCATGTAAAGTTTCAGTTTAAGCTTTTTTGTATTTTTGACTAAATAAAGCACGAGTGAAATTCTCTAAACACTTCCATATTGATTTTTCTATACATGTACAGTACAATGGCGACGAGGATCAAAATGAAATTGATTGGTTTAGTTTTTGAAATGTTCTACTAGCGAAATAATAAAAATAAACAAGAGGGTCATGATGGCCCTTAGTCGCTCACCGGAAACAACTGCTTTTCAGAGTTGCAAATTATCCATTGTCAATATTTTCTGATATTTAATATGAGCATAGAATATGTTTAAACAATAATTTGAAGAAATGCCATGACCTGAGGCATTTAAGCTTTAGCTTAAACAGTGCCAATCAAATTAATATGAGCAACTTGATAAAAGACTACCTAATAATGCTACAAAGTTTGGTGATCACCTATCAATTATTTCAATAGGAAATGGTCAAAGGTTTTTCTATTTTTAGCCCTAGAGACCCCTAAAAGGGCCTAATCAAATTAATATGAGCAAACTTGATAAAAGCGTACCTAAGAATGCTACAGACAAAGTTTGGTGATCATCCATCAATTAGTTCTGTAGAAATTGACGTTAAAAGGTATTTCTATGTTTAGCTTTAGCGGCCCCTAAAAGGGGCCAATCAAATTAATATGATCAAAATTGATAAAAGACTACCCAAGAATGCTACAAAATTTGGTGATCATTATAGAAGAAGATGTTTAAAGATTTTTCTATTTTGAGCTCTAGAGACCCCTAAAAGGGGCCAATCAAATTTAAATGATCAATCTTGATAAAAGACTACCCAAAAATGCTACAGACATCCATCAATTAGTTCTGTAGAAATAGACGTTTAAAGGTATTTCTATTTTTAGCTTTAGCTGCCCCTAAAAGGGGCCAATCACATTAATATGAGCAAACTTGATAAAAGACTATACAAGAATGCTACAGACCAAGTTTGATGATCATCCATCAATTAGTTCTGTAGAAGAAAACATTAAAAGGTTTTTCTATTTTAAGCCCTGGAGACCCCTAAAAGGGGCCAATCAAATTAATATGAGCAAATTTGATAAAAGACTACCCAAGAGTGCAACAGACAAGATTTGGTGATCATCCATCAATTAGTTCTCTAGATATAGATGTTCAAAGGTATTTCTATTTTTAGCTTTAGCGGCCCCTAAAAGGGGTTAATCAAATTAATATGAGCAAATTTGATAAAAGACTACCCAAGAATGCTACAGACAAAGTTTGGTGATCATCTATCCATTAGTTCTGTAGAAGAAGATGTCTAAAGGTTTTTCTATTTTTAGCCCTAGAGACCCCAAAAAGGGGCCAATCAAATTAAAATAAGCAAATTTGATAAAAGACTACCAATTAAAATTAAAGAATGCTACAAGCAAAGTTTGGTGATTATCCATCAATTAGTTCTGTAGTAGAAGATGTTTAAAGGTTTTTCTATTTTTAGCCCTAGAGACCCCTAAAAGGGGCCAATTGAAATGACATGAGCAAATTCAAGTGTGACTGTCACAAGGATGCTACAGACCAAATTTAAAGTAAATCTGCCCAGCGGTTTCAGAGAAGAAGACTATTGTTGACGCATGACGACGGACGACGGACGCCGAAGTATCCCCCTTTGATACTAATAGCTCACCCTGAGCCTTCGGCTCTGGTGAGCTAAAAATAGTAATAGAAAACTACTAGTGTACAATACCTGTTTTGGAACTGATGTCCTTTTATCAGAAAACTGATACGGTGTCAAAAATAATACAAACATTACCAGTTGTTTGTGACTGTATCATATAGATAAGATGGATCAATATATTTTAACATTTGAATCAACGGGTTTGACATATCTAAGACAAGAAACACCATACCTCTTGTATTTACTATTCGGAGGGTAAGCAAATTGCATTTTGACACATTAGAAAGCACGGAGAACCGCACAATTACAGTTAACAGAATACTCCGCCCAAGAAAAAAATCAATGAAATATAGCACGGTAGGCAAACTAAATAGAAAACTGATAAAAATATAAAGGAGAGATCACGATTAGATAACATACATTGGACAGGCACACACAAGAAGTTGGAACACTGGAATTATCAGATTTTCAAGCATCTGAAATTGTACGTAAAGCAAAGCATGGTCCTGTTAATGCCATGAAAATACGACGAAGAGAATCAAAAAGTGGTCAAATGATCAGTAAGAAAGCGACACGAAGCCATTATTAATTAATGGAATAACCAAGACTTTCGGAGAATTTTATGCTATTAAAGAGCAAATATGAAAGAATCATAAATACCGTTGAAAAGTAAAGCCAGGATCATAAATCAGTGTGTTTGATGAAAAAAAAGAACTATATACTGATAAAATAAACGAAGTTTCACGGAAATTCGGCAGAAAAATATTAAACTGAGTTAAAAAACACATCAGAAAAACCTCTTCGGGTATATTTAAGCATTGGTGGAATGACAGCAGTTCCGAGAAAATTTTTATTGAAAATATATAGCACAGCAAAAACTGTGCCAGAGGTGAGAATGGTAAGCTGCTAAGCTATGACAAACAATATATGCGTCACACTTTGAATCAATTCACATCAGAGCTAATTCGTCATTTTATTAAGAAAATGCAAAATGGATACGGCAAAATTAACAAGAAGCCTTTCATAAAATCAAATCTACTTTTAGTACTGACACTGTTATGGCATACTTTGGCTCTTATAAGGAAATATATATAATCACTGAGGCATCGTTATTGGGTAAGGGAGCTGCTATCTTCCAAAGTATGAAATCTAGTGTAGATCATGCTTGAAAATTACTTAAAAGGTTGTTTTGAAAATTCCTTGACACCAAGTTCTGCCTTGGAATTTTCTTATAAATTATCAATGGATAGTTTTCAAAAGTACATGTATATGAATTTAATTCTTTGCATTACAATGGCAAAGAATCATTTGATACTGTTTCTGTTGACAGAAAACAAGAGAAGCGTCAAGTTTGAATACTAAGGAAGAAACGAGAAACCAAACATTGTGTAAGAGGAAGGATTGAGGAAGCAAATGTTTATATTGTGCCGCTTAGAAAACATGTTATATCATACAGAAGAATCAAGATCTCTGTTGTTAAGACTCATTATGCGCACTTTTTACAGCACTTTTTTACATCGTCAGTGCCAGCTTTAAAACTGGTTCTGTAAATTTCCAGTACTACCAGTACGCATTTGAAGAGAACTATATCAAGGTAGCACAATTCTTTAGGACTGAAATCCCTTAAATGTTTTTTTAAAATAGAAAACTAGTTTATTTAACCAAGCTACCGTCAAATAATAGATAAAGTATAAATTCTGCTAGTTCTTCTCTTTTATTTTCATAAATGATAATTATTTCATAAACATTTGACTAGAACCATCAAAATAAAATATATAATTTTTGTACATGGCATGATAATTGATACAACATTTCTAAATATTAACCCGCCATTCCAATAAAGGATAAGTTATACAATTTTCTAATGTGGGTTTGTCTGATGCACTGTTTGGTTATCCAATTAATACCGAATTTGGGTCATGATTTATCGACTAAAAATTTCTACATCATTTCATTTACATCGTAACGTGATTATCCATCCACACATTCATGAAAAAAAGTACAAAGGTGTTTTTTCACAAGCTTTAAAAAGTTATATACATTGGATAAAGAGGAGATATCGAAAAGTCAATGATATTTAAAAGCTATGTACCATTCATTTGTTTGTTTGTAATCTATGATACTACTGATTTAGTTTAGTGAAGACCCATAAGCTCACTTGAAAAATGTCCTTAGTTTTTTCCTATAGTAGGTTCAGTAGTGTGTACTAAAGACTTATCAAATTATGAAATTACTTTGATCAGCGTTAAAAGAAGACAACCCAAGAATGGCACAGGCAAGATTTAAAGTGAAACAGACCTAATGTATCAGAGAAAGAGGAAATTTAATCACAAATGTAGATTATCTGCCTATCATAAATGCTTACCCTGAACCTTTAGTAAGGGTGAGCGAAATATATACATATTGTTTACAAAACAACAACAACAAATACCCGGTACAATCAATATCCAGCAATTCAAAACTTAATAAAAGTTCTTCTAAAATTAATTTTTCAAACAAACATAAAATAGGCATCAAAATATAGATACATAAATTAAGAAATGTATAAATAATAAAACTACTACTCCTGTCACACTGTATCGGTCCCTGCACCAACATATACAGTCATGTCAAATGACTGTTTCTCCCTGATTCTATAAAATGACCATGAACAAAACTGAATACATCCAATAACACATGGATAAAGACATAGCAAGTTAAACATAACACTGCTGAGATCTTGAACCTCTGTGGCATTAAGTGTTCCATCTTTCAAATGGTCGTATCCATAAACGTTTAAAATCTTAACAACAAACATTGGTGACAATGATTGGGCAGGTTTTACCACCAGGGCGTTCATTCCGTAAACCATCGAGGTAACTGGATGTCTGAAAAGATTAACAAATCTCATTGTTGACAACATCAGTATCAAAATTTTATTCTAATTAAAACCTGCACTTTATATATTAGAGACATGATAATTTCACGGCTATATGCATTTTGCATGGTGTAATTTAGGAATCCTTATCTGAAACTTGTTGGTTTGAGTCCACTGAAAAGAATATTCTCTTTTGGATTCCTTAACCAACAGTTACGTAATTACTGGTTATGACATGTATGAAGCATTTATATTTTATATTTACATCCCCCTAAAAAAGATTTGACATTAACGAGGAAAAAGCCAACAGGTCGTAGAATGAAGATATAAGGTAAATATTGATGTTAAACCACTGTTTACCGGTACATATCCAATATCTCAAAGTTTAATTCCCCATCAACAAAACACAGACAGGCACTCGTACAAAACAAAAAACATTATAACAGCCACAAACTCATAAACTGTCCTTAAAATGCCATGTACTTTAGTCAGCAGGGAAAAGATTTGGGCACTATCCAAAACCTGATAACTTTTGCAATAAAAGGGCATTAATGTAACAGAATTATACTCCATGTAACAGCATTCAAATCATTTTCAAAATGATGTATTGTAAATTCACTAAATAGTAAACATTTCTTAAGCAACATTGTAGTTGTCAACTTTTCTTTTTCTTCCTAAGAAAGATGAATCGTCATTATCAACCTCCTTCTTTATTTCAGAAGTACAATGCATGTTTTTAACTTTTATTTATTTCCATGACAACCAGGTATGTGTTACAAATACAAAACAGCAAAAGAAATGAATGATATCAAAGGATGTCACTAAAGAAACATTCCTGTTATTGAAAAGTTTGCATATGCATAAAGAAAAACTTCCTTTATATTGACCACCCTGTTTTACAGTACAACGAAAAGTATACCCTCTTAGAGTATTTCATACGAGTATAAATATAAATACAAGAAACAAAATTTAATATGTAAAACTCTAAAAATAAAAATAGTTTTTACCTTCTATTATATCGTATCACATCATTGTCTGCTACATCTGACAAGGCAAGATTGAACAGTGCACTTATACAATCCACTAAACAACTGTAATATCAAACAAACAAGACTTGCTATAACAAATCATACTGTAATTTTCTCATTTCTCAGTGCTTTAAAGTAAAACAGGAGCCAAACAAAATTTCACAGAGAAGAGTTATCCAGTAAAATTCCGTGCCAAGGTTATGGGTCTTGTCATAGACCTAGATCTATTTCCTTTACCATATGTCTAGGTTTCAAGTGAATGCTTTCAGTGGTTATGGAGAAAAAGAAACTTAATCCAGGAGAATACTAAGTTCAGAGTAGAAATGATTCGTCAGAAATCTATAAAAAATAGCGGCAAAGGGAGGTACATGTAATGTGTGAAATAATATAAACTAATTACTCCATGATCCTACAAAGTTTGTACACCTTATCTCCATAGAAATCAGGTTGGCTAATACTTAGTCGTAAAAGAGTTTTCAAATTACAATTAAATTTTAAAACTAAATCTGAATTACGATGGTAAAACTTAGAAAAATATTTACGCAATTTATGATAGCGATAACCTTGTTTAAGAAGTTTGTAAGTAATAAATAAATTGCGTTCATTAAAACCATCAACACGACTGCACGCCCTAGCAAATCTAATTAATTGAGAAATATACACCCCATATGATGTAGCATGAGGTACATCTCCATCTAAATGCGGATAGTTAACAATATTAAAATCAAAATCATCTCTTTTATCGTAGATTTTAGTTACTATAGTATTGTTAATGATAGAAATGTTTAAATATAAAAAAGATGTAATAACGTCTGATGAGTTAGTTTTATTCAATTTAAGTTCACTGGGATATATTTTAGAAACCAATTGATCAAAATAAGGATTAATCATGTTAAGGATATCATCTAGATAGCAGGAAGTGTAATTAAATGCATGTCAAAGACATGTGTGGAGTTTTAAATGAAAACCATCAGAGCATGAAAAATCTGAACCAAATATTTGCAGTGAGATAAAAGGAAGTAGTGGTCTAGGGTTAAATTGTCAGTGTTTCTTAATCCAGGGGTCATGAGTCTGAACTTTGCGGCCTATAATATTGGATGTTACCAATGACTATGTTTCCTAACATGACAGCAGTTCTGGATAAATACAGGAAACATATTTGAGAAAGATTCAAATAAGCTGAAAGTTTTCTTCACATTCATGTTTATATAAATGATGTTCAAACTAACACCAGGGTGTTTAAGATAGTACTACTTTTATTCAAATAAGTGTGCTTAAAAAACTGAAGAAAAATAAAACACCATAATTTTTGCACAAAGATTGGGGTTACATTCATTCATTGAATGCTGCTCTTTCTTGTTAATCTTTGTACTCAATGATAGCCAGCAATTCTTATTGTAGTTTTGGTTTGCAAGTACCGGGTATTCTGGTGATAATCAGAAAGACTGATAAAGTTATATGACTGGTAAAGTGGTGATTCTATATTTACAGATGATATATATGTATTATTATTAAATTTTACCTGTCTAATAGCATAAATAACATCAAGCACCACTGGTTGACTGGACCAATGATATAATAAACTAGCCCAGAGATTACCAAGATGATCTGACCATAACGTAACACCTTGAAATAACCATAGCGACTGACAATACTTGCTCCAAATATCACAGTTAACTGAAAACAAATGAATTATTGTTAAATGAACTAAAAAAACTTTATATTGCCATGATAAAGTTTTTGAAGTTCATTCAAGACAAATCCCCCTATTTGGGAAACTGGGAAATATGGCATGTATGATTCATGCTTTGTCTAATTATAAAAGTATTACTTTAATTATTTACAATTAATTTTCTTTCAAAGAAGTATACTACTAATATCTTTTAACTTAAAACTTTAATTATTAACTAAATACATATTAAATATAATTTTTTATATGTGTCTGTGTGAGGTAATGAACCAACCTTTGCACCTGTTGTACTAGCCCCATAAAATGTGCTTCTCACAATAGATGGAATGCTCCCTTTTTCAATCAGTTGGTCCCCAAATATTGCGAAAAAGTTTGATACAAATGTCCGGTGAAATTCTTGGAAAAAGTTCATTATCACAAATGCAAGGAAATCTCTATTAAACAAAATTTGTTTAGAGAGTGTAAAATAGGAATATTCCTGGAATTTAACGATTTGAGGTTTGCCAGATTTTGCATCACTTTCTTGCTGAAGTTCTCTCTCTGTGTGAGCATGCTTCCCACAATACATCATAAATAAACAGCTGATCACTGCAACTAAAATACATGTCGTTTGAAACATCTGAAAGTTTTCTAACTGATCTGACAAATTCTGTAGAATAAATACACTTGAGGATCCCAAAAGGCTACCTAACTGAGTATATCTAATCAATTTAAGCCTTTCATTATTGTCTGAGGTCATTTCAGTGAAAAGACAACAATAGCCTAATCCTACATATGTAAACATAGTGTCCCAGAAGCATAAGGCTGTAATTAGATGAATTCCTGTAACCCATGGCTGCAGCGTCTCTGGATCTCCCCATGGAAACCATGGCACGAGGAATGAGAGAGCAAAAAATGGTGCTGCATATAAAACACTTTCACGTCGAGTTCTTGAGCATCTAAAGTTTGTACTGTCTTGACAATATGCAAACAGAGGGTCGTTAATGGCATTCCAAATCATGAAGAGTGTCTGGGACAGTTGAAACCAGCTTTCTTCTATGTGATAGTGGTTTAGAAATACTTTCACATAATAAAAGCTGAATGCTGAGCTTATTAGACTAAATCCAACTGATAGAGCAGAGAGTGCCAATATCCTGTTCTGTAGAGATTCCTTTGACATATTGCTGAACTATTAGGAATCCCTTCTAGAATTGCAAGCTCAGCTCATTTGATACTCTTTTCAAGAGGGTGTTTCAACTCTACTTGTGTAGAATAGTTCCTCTGTGTATATGCTTAACATCTGTAAATCATTAATGTCAACTTTACCTTTCCTGAAATAAAAAAAGAGATTTATGTAATTTTCTATCAAAATAACATTCCTTTTACTTGATTGTATATACCTGGAGGGGTATTCATTTCCATTAATTGAATCTAAAAAAAGAGCTTCCAAACCTTGGGGAGAACTGTCAGGGAAGGAACTGGTAAGGGTCATTCGTTTATATTATATTTCCAGAATAAAAGGATCAAATTTAATATACATCTACATCTACATGTTACTCCCGAACAATCAATTCTGACTATGACTGGGAGGCGCTTGTCAGGAAAACTGTGTTAAAAGAATTAGTGCATACTAAAAGATAAAGATCACAGATAAAAAAGGTGCAGGATAAAAAGAATAGTGCAAGATTAAAAATATACTGGGGAGGGGACTAGAAGGTGACTGTCGCCAGCCTATCCTTGAAGGTATCTAGGCTGGGACTGGATTTGACCTGATATGGAAGGCTATTCAATACCTGAGAGTTCTAGGGAAGTAGGAATTTAGATGATATTGGGTACGGGACTGTGGGATCAGGAAGTTCAGATTTCTAGTTGGGGTCAGATGGTTATGGTCAACATATACAAGTTTGTATTGGATTTTATAGAACACTACTAGAGAGGACTGGAGTCTGCGGCTTTCTAGGGAAGGCCACCCAAGTTCATTTAGCATTTGGGTTACACTACTGTCGAAATTATAATTATTACAGACATATCTGGCCGCAGCTTGTTGGACACTTTCAATCTTATGACTTAGATGTTTCTGCCAGGGGTGCCATATGGTGGAACAATATTCTAGTTGTGGTCGGACATAAGTAACATAGGCTGATGTTTTGAGTTGCCTGTTTTGGGTTTTGACGTTTCTCTGGATGAATCTTAGAGAATTTTTGGCCTTGGAGGTGATGTTATTTATGTGCTGTGTCCAGTTTAGATCTTAAGAGATAGTTACTCCAAGGTATTTTGCAGATTCTGCTGATTTGAGAGTTTTATTATTTAAGGGTGTATGGCAAGATGGTGGGGTTCTTTTTACGGGTGATCCTCAGCAGCTCACACTTGTCTGGGTTGAACTCCATAGCCCAGTCCGGGTACCACTAAAATACGCAACGGAGATTTTTTGGCGCAACGGACGCAACGGGCGCAACGGAGATATTTTTTTTAGAAAAACCGGCACAACGCCTTTTTTTAAGTCAATGTGCTATATTTAAGCATCTAAAATGATTAATTAGCATTATTAAGTAAGTATGTTTTAAAATGTTTCATAAATTGAACACGTTTAATTGCACTGAAGAGTTATATGCCTGGCGAAATGGAAATTTCATGGCGCAACGGAGATATTTAAAAAAACAACAACGACACAACGCCTTTTTTAAAAGTCAATGTGCTATATTTAAGCATCTAAAATGATTGTTTAGCATTATTAAGTAAGTTTGTTTTAAAATGTTTCATAAATTGTATATGTTTAATTGCACTGAAGGGTCATATGCCTGGCGAAATGGAAATTTCATGGCGCAACGGAGATATTTTTTTAAAAAAAAAACGACACAACACCTTTTTTTAAGTCAATATGCTATATTTGAGCATCTAAAATGATTGTTTAGCACTATTAAGTAAGTATGGTTTAAAATGTTTCATAAATTGTATATGTTTACACTGAAGGATTATATATGCCTGGCGAAATGGAATTTCACGGCGCAACGGAGATAATTTTGGAAAATCGGCACAACGTATGTACTAATATATGAAATTAATTAACACCAATGTTATTTAATAAATTAATTTTAAAAAAGACATAGAAACCTTAATCGTATATCAAATATAGCTGCAATGTTGATGTTGTAAAGGATTGTGTGCCGGCGAAATGGACATTTTGTATTCGCAACGGAGATTTTTTTTCGGCGCAACGGAATTTAAAGAGAAAACAATGTTTTTATCGTAATGGCTGACACTGGAAGACAAGTATGGATTTTACAATCTGTTTCATTTTTTCCCCGTTTAATTCGTTATTTTTACGAAAAGTACTGTAATAGCTTAATTTTCTATACATAATTTTCAGAATTTTACTTAAAGAATACGAAAAGTCCGTAATGCATACGCTGTGGACTTTCTAATGTAATCTTAACAATAAATTACCACAACCAATTTCAACAAAACGCTGCTTAATGGCTTTATTGCTACACAAATAAATACGTTTATTTCCGTCATGGCTGATATTCGAAGATAAACATGAGTCTTTAAATCTATTTCTTTTTTTCCCGTGTATTACGTTATATTTACGTTAAATATTGTAATGACTTTAATCAATGACATGATTGTAAAACAAAGTCATATCTTTATTCAAAAGATTTGTATTACAAATAGTTAAAACGACATGCATGTAGAATTTGCTGATCTTTCTATATCCATTTTAAAACAGTAAAACACATAAAATAATTAAATTGAACATTACTTATAACAATTCCTTCCCCAATCAGAAAACCCCGTTAAAATCAAATGCAGCTACTGTTTATTTAGCGAAACAACAGCAATTTGGTGATTGGCAGAATGTTTATCACGGGTGTTAAGTACCGATAATTAAATTACCAATGACACGTGGTTGATGTTTATTGGACACGTAAGCGTTTTCACACCATTTAGATAATGTGATAAAGAGAAACATGTATTGACTCTAAGATATTAAATTTTTTTTTTATAACTTGTTATTGTCGAAAATATTGCTTTTTGAAGCTTGTTATGCCAATATTTCACTCAAACTATGAGAAAAAATGGTGTATATGAAATGTGAGACGTAATAAAACATTTTGGAGTCTGAATCGCCACTGATGACGGTCAAGTTTTCTATTACAAGTGTTAAAAACATTAAAACACCCGTGCCATACACATGCACGATACGTTGCTAATTGCTAACAATTCTCTCGTAATTGACTACCTTTTGTTAATATCATAATTATGAAATATTTGGATTGCTCTTGATGAAATATACGAATACGCAACGAACTGTTATTGAAAAAGTACACAATGATTAATGAAAGATAATAAATTGATAAAATAATATAATATGATAAAACTGTTATGATAATCCCCGTTGCGTCGAAATGTGTCCATTTCGCCGTAATTTTAAATATCTTTTACAATATCCTATTTTCAACATTTTCTAAAAAATAAAGGAAAGTAAATCAGTTTTAAAAGACTGTTACTTATTATTCTCAAATTCTTATGTTATGTTCAAATATAAGATCTACCCGTTATGCAAATCTTTATTTTCCGTTGCGCCGAAAAATTATGTCCATTTCGCCGTCCATTTAGAATCTGATATATCCAGTATTCTACCTAATAAAATCAAAACTTATACAGTATATGTTAAAAATATGTATAAATATCAACAATACCAACTTATATAATTATTTTATGTTTTAGACATAAAAACAGTATACACAGTTTTGAATATAAAATCTCCGTTTCGCAATAATCCATCGGCGCAACGGAGTTTATGAAAGGTATATAACAACAATACAATGAATGTTTATAATAAAAAATACTTAACATTGATTCTGTAATATCAACATATGACTTTATTTAGTATATACTAATGCAAATTCAATTAAAAGTACTTTGTTTGCTAGTTTAAAAAAAAATAAATCTCCGTTGCGCCAATGAATTTTTGCGCAACGGAGTTTTGAGCGGTATTACAATAATACAATGCTTATTATATAGAACATATTGTTTTTAGATGATTTCTATAAATTCAAAATATTATTTTATTAAGCACATACTAATATAAATTGAAAAAATGCATTGCTAATCGTATTTTATTGCCACATTTTAAATTTTGAACTCCGTTGCGCCCGTTGCGTCCGTTGCGCCAAAAAATCTCCGTTGCGTATTTTAGTGGTACCGGCCCAGTCCCGTTCCCAAACTTCAAGTTTATGTAGGTCGTCCTGTAGTCTGTCAGCGTCAGTCTGGTCTTTAATTGTCAAGTAGACTATAGTGTCATCCGCAAATAACCTATAACCTAATATATAATTAATGGACGTGAAATGACCCATTTACATTTGTTTATATGATTATCTGTAATCAACCAGGTACGTACATTACCTGAATCAACAGACAAGTAGGCCTACAGAATATATATGTATATCATCCTTTAACATCATTGAAAAATAATTGTGTTTCTAGCCTGAAAAGACCCATGATTCTATAATATTTTGCTAGCAACCATTCAGAACTTGACTTTCTGCTAATAATATGTTAAGTAGGAAAGGAATTTACTTAAAATCTTACCATCCATAGTCTTACGTTGACGTACGTACATATGGCGCAAACTAAATAAAGGGAGAAAACTCTTACTGTCTTACTCTCTTTATCTCTACTGTAACAGGCGTTCTGCCCCTCAATAAAACCAACTCAAAACAAAGTAAAAACTGGATGCTTTTTGTTTAAAATGTAATAATGTATAATGGTAATGCATTGTCCAACTAATTAGAATTGATTCAAGCACTTTTAAGTGTTGAAAAATAAATACCGATCAATCAGGTGCAATCAGGTGCTAGGGTGCGTCAAATTAATTAAGGTGCTAGTCGCATTGATTTGACCTAAAATGTCTTCAGTCTTGTTATTCTTGTAATATGAGAGCTATATCAATATACTAAAAAATTAAAAGAGGGGAAAAAAAAGATTATTGTTATATTGTTATAGACATATTGTTATTGTCTATAACAATATAGCAATTTTTTTTTCTATTTTAATTGTTTTAGTATATAGATATACTATTACAAAAATAACAAGATTAAAGATATTTTAGGTCAAATCAATGCGACTAACACCTTTGGGGTGCGCAAGAGGTGTTGCATTTTTTTCATTACGCCTCATGTACAGATTCAAACAAACCGAGTCTGCAATTTTCATATAATTTTTTGTGATTAATTCTTCCGAGGGAACAGTTTTTCTCCAGATCTAGATCATTATTACATCACAACAGCGGATGTCAAGTCCGTTATGGCAGCTGTCACTATACTGTAGTTGCCCCATACTTCACTTTGTTATATTTTTCTGGTCCTTCGGGATCATTGATTCCAGCACTTTTAAAGTCAAGTCAGGTACGTATATTAATATACGTACCTGGTCAAGTCAAGTAAATTTTAATTATAAGTCGAATTCGTATAATAACAAACATATAAGCTCTAATGAGCTTTTTAATTACACCGTCTACTGTAATATATTACATTTGGTAAAGATATGATATATAAAAAAAAACATGGTTACAATACAACGAAAGGCTTTAAGCTTCATGCGGATGTTTATTAATTCAAAATTTTACCATTTTCGTGATTAAATGTTGAATTTTGCTTAAGTCGGTGCTTCGGGGCGTGGACGGTAACTTGCACTTTCCAGTACCGTCCATGAACAGGCTCAATCAAACCGAGCCTGCAACATTTTCAATATTGCCGTTTTGGTCTTTCCTAATTAAGGATTCGGTTTTCCTCTATTCAGATAAGACAATATTGTACTAACATTTATCGATATCAGCAAAAGTAAGAAGATCTGATATAAATAGATATAAACAGCAGAATACATGCTACAGCTAGACTACATAAAACACACAACATTTAAGCATTTGAAACGTATTTCACTCAAGCCAGACTTAGAACAGCAAAAATTAAAATACGATTTTAAGAATTCAATTTTATATGATCTATTTCTGAGTATATTTTGTTATTTATTTTTATATATCTATATCTGTGAACAAGTCAATATGTGCGAATTAATAAGTAATTTGGAAATTTTACTCAAACTTACCAGATTTTAAACAAGAGACGATGAAAAAATGACTATAAATTATTTTTGGACACATAAAATATAAATTGGATATGTAAGGCAAGCCTAATAATCACCAATGTTTAATTTAGCACCTCAAACTCACTTTTGAAAGATGAAAATTACCATTTTTGACGAGTGTTTTATTTGTATATACAAAAGTTTCCGTCGAACTCCGTACCAGTTATGACAAGTTATCATAAGAACCGTAACAGTTCCTCCCCCGTGATGATAGGACTTGAAATAGTGCAGATCTTATTATAGTTCACAACTCTTGCTGAAAAACAAAACAATATTATCAATCCATACCTTTTCAATTTGTCGTGGTCAAATTCTATATCAACAGATATTTCGCAAGGTCAAATTCTATATCAACAGATATTTCGCAATGTATCACGTATGCCATGTGAAGTTTAACGATAGCTATTATGTCAATACAGGAAGGTTTAACTTGCTTAGCTGGTTATTAATCATCCGTTATCACGTGAAATATGTAAACAAAGTTGTTTCAAAATTAAGGTGATCTAAAAACATGTATGTTGGCTTGCAAAATAACATTGCATATTTAAACATTTGCAGCATACATTAACAAACTTATTCGAATTGTAGCCTATGATAGTTGATCAACGATCAGGATATTTTCTTAAACGTAAGTTGTTTCTACATTATAATAATTATCTATGAAAATTATTTTATTGAAGGAGAACATATGTGATATTAAAAAGTAGAAATATGTCCAAACGTAAATCACGGATGCCGCCGCCTCCATCCCGGGCTTCAATTGTCAAAAGTCCGTGCCTCCACCATGCAAGTATCTTTGACATTACTGGGAATAAAGGCATCTATCGGATCACCATATAAATATTCACCTTCAGGACACTCTATATTTATTTCTTAATTTAAACATGGCAACATATTTCCCAATTTGGTATTTTTTATCAACCGAAACACCGCAAAGTCCGTGCGCCGAAACATATAGAATGCAATCTAAAAACAGACTATAGGACATCTGTACAGTAGAAAACAGATAGTTACAAAAATTGAAACAGACTATACAGTATCAGTTCAATATTGAGGACATGATAAGAAGAGTGATTGGGGTTGTAAATCTTTAGGAAAGGGTGGATATTTGTCACAAACTCTGATGATAAGAGGATAGTTTCATAGTAGGTACTTTATATTTTCTTATCTAACAGAAAAACTCGTTTTCCTTTCAGAATGGATAGAAATGGGTAAGCCTTTATCAGTTTATTCGAGGTGTTATTAACTGGTTATAATTTATTTAATATTTCAAAATGATGTTTACAAACAGTTAACTAGGTAAACAGGACCTTCAGAGAACTAAGAAATTGGTATATTGTTTGGCTTCCAGAGTGACTGCTTTAAGGCTTAATTAATTATTATTTATAGAATTAAACACTGTTAAATACTGTATTTTTTCATTTAAGTGGCAGAATATGTCTTGGCATCTTTTATGTGATCTGGTCCCACATTAGTCCTATAAATATGACGTCGCTTTGAGATATTTTTGCTTCTGGGCAGCTTGACCGACAAAAACTATAACAAGCCTGTAACGTCTAATATATTGGACTAGTCCCACATGTGATCACTGAGCTTAATCTACTACGGTTATACAGTTGAGTTCAAAGTAAATTTTCCATCCTTGTGCACACCATGTGCAATTGTAATTGTTAGGTATGTTTTATTCATAATTCCATTTTTGATAAATTGATAAAGTTTATTTTATTACAGGTATTAAAATGCATGATATTATTTGGACTTTTGTGAGCTATCAAAAGCTAGCTAGTGCCTGTAGTTGATTGTTTTATATCATGCATTCATGTTTGACTGAATATAGTGATATAGATATGTACATTTGACTGTGTCATCCAGTTGGCCTGCATTAGGTTGCATGAATCACACACCTCTATGTCACCTTTTTATGCTCCCACTCCAGGGAGGAGGGGGGAAGGGGGTATTTAAGTTTGCCCTTGTCCATCCATCAGAGTGCGTGTGTGCTGTGTCACATATGTAGCTCTAACAGTGCTTGAGCTAGTGTAAACAAACTTTACAGGTATGTTGATCAGCATGTGAAGTTGTGCACCTGGGATTTTGCTTGTAAAATGTATATTTATTCAGTTTTGATAGTTATTGCTCATGACTAAGTAAATATATTTTGCAATTTTCAAATTGTGTCACATGCAGCTCAAAACATATTTGACTTGGAGTCATGAAACTTTACAGAAATGTTGGTCAGCAGGTGTAGTTGTGCATTGTATTTTGCTTGTTTTTAATTTCTTTTAAACATACATCTAAAATTGAAATTTGAAATTCTTGCAGCTCAATATTGGGAGAAATCAAGATAATCAACATTGTAAAAATAGGAGGTTATTTTATGCAGGAAGGGGGACATGTAGAATTTCCTTTGTTTGTCTGTCTGTCTGTTTGTCTGTCTGTCATACTGTCATGTTGTATGTCAATAGACTAACAATTTTAAGCAGTAGAATGTGGGGACATCAGTGTCCTATGGACACATATCCAGTTCTACAGTGTTTATGTTTCAATTATTTGTTTTATAATTTTGATGCCACTAAATTGATGATGTTAATTAGCGTCCACGCCGAAGGGCGACACCCTTATCAAATGAAATCAGATTTTGTGAAAGGGCAATTGCAACTTCTAGAGCCTTTTTGTCGGCCATAAAAGCCGAACATTCGTATTGATATGAGTGTTTGATTATCGAAAATGAAATGTTGCAATATGTAAAATGAGTTGTCATGGGTTTATTGATAGGCATGTAAACACACTGAAGGGTCAGACTAGGTCATTAAAATAGTAGATTGACCTCCCAAATAAATAAATTAATAGACTTTGTTCATTTTGACTATTATGTTGCATGTTCCAAAGAAAATACCACATGAACTTGAAATTCTATCAAACAACCAATATAAATGATACTATTCAAAAATACCCTATATTATAGTATAAATAAACTTATACCATATAGGGGGTATATATTTTGGATATTATAGAACTGTGTATTTTGGATATTATCATTAACATTGATAGAATTAAAGTTCTTACGGAAAAAAATTAAATATTTAAATGTCTAGTAATACAATACTTGTTATGTTGGACAATAGCTTATATAGCTAATGTTTATATGTTTTTATGAAACCGACTATAAATAAAGATTATCTTATCTTATCTTTGTTAAATTAAAACAATTAACCATTGAAAAGTTTATAATCAGATGTCTACTAGTTCATCTTCACTTGCTGCATTTCTTTTTTTGCTTTGCATCAATGCTTTTCTTGTACATAATTTATATAATATCTTACTTACTTGGTGTAAGATGAGTTTTAATGATAATTACAAGTAGAAGTGAGGAGGATACAACCAATCATCAAGCATGAAACACATTTTAAGATAATTGACTTTAACTCACATATCATATGTTCAGATGATGTTCATATCATATAACATTATACGTCTAGTATATGTGTATTTGCCTTATAGTATTGCAAACTGTTTGCTTTCTAAATGAATATATTGTGACTTAGAAAACTTTTCTGCAAAATGAAAGATTTGTCAAGCTCGTAATGTTGAACATGAACTATGAAGTTAAAGGGACTCCACTGGGTTTTTTTGACATGCTTGGACGGGAAATTATTTTACGAGATTACTGCTTCAGTTGATATAAACTAATAATTATATGCACGATAACAGATAACAGGTTTCACTCAAATTTGGATAAGGATAGCAAAAATTTACGATCAGAGTACATTCTTAATTATCAGTATCTTTTAGCAAATCATTCATTTTAAATGCCCCATCAGTTCTGTTCTATTTAAGGAATTTAAATTTAATGCTTTTAGGTTTTTGGACCTCAGACGCAGCAGTCAGAGTTGAGCTCCTTAAATAGTTTAATACATTTGTAAACTTTTGGACTGACTCTACAAAGTTTTGATTACTTGCATTGTGAAGTTATTTAAACACTTCATCTTTATATAAACAGTTAAATGATCCCAATCATAGTTTATTTAAACAGGAAGGTCAGTTACTGGTGAGACTGTAGTATAATTCATTGTAGAGACTAAGACTGGTAGAGTACATACCATCAACATTGTCAAAAGTTATATCAATAAACACCATATAACAATTAGAGGAAGCCAGGGTCATTTCTGTGTTATCCTTTCATTAGCCAAGGATTATGTCCAGTTATAATTTTTGATTGGTTAGGCATCATTGTTGTCATCATTATTGTTGTCATACAAAAACTTAATATAGCCCATACACGAAAAAATTCTAACAGTATCACATTTACATTGCTCGTTAATCTTGACAAGGGGCACTAATTTGAAAAAGGGGCATTTCTCTGAAAGCTATATATGTGGAGTAATAATGCCTCCTAAGTTTGAATTTAAGAGTTTTTGTTTTAATTGTTTATTAAGTTGAATAATTTCAAAACAATGTGAATCTTGGAAGACTTGAAGACAATGACAAGGCATAGTTGTAAAGCAAGGGACTTTATCCTGAAAGCAATATATTAAAGCTATTTTTTAACTTAGAAATTTGTAAAAAATTCTTATTATTAATAGAATAATTTAAACATGTCAAAGATATCAACTTGAAACTTTTAATACTTGATTTATTATCTGGGCATGACGAGGTACAGTTGTAAGATCCCGAAAGTAATACTTTTAGAAGTTATGCCCCTTTTAAAATTTATGATACCGTATTTATAAAAATCAGTTATTGATAGTGGTTACCCTTTACAGACAAGCATTAACACTGTATGTAGTTCTCTAGTATATAACATTTTAGGATTAGTGTTTAAATGATCAGTATTTCACTTTTATCTTTTTCAGAACTCCATTCTCAAATAAAGTGACACCTGACATACAATCAGGTCAACAACGTTTGACGATGCAGTCAACATGGTTTGGTCAGTTCAAGGCTATGATGTACAAAGTTCTTCTCTTAAAAAGAAGAAATAAGAAAACAACAATATATGTAAGTTGTCTAAGAAAATGACAATATAGATGTAGGTTGGATAACAAAACAACAATATATGTATGTTTGTGTAAGAAAACAACAATATACATGTACAAATATAAGATGTATAAGAAAACAACAATATATGTAAGTTGTGTAAGAAAACAACAATATATGTAATTTGTGTAAGAAAACAACAATATATGTAAGCTGTGTAAGAAAACAACAATATATGAGAGTTGTATGATAAAACAACAATATATGTAAGTTGTGTAAGAAAACAAGAATAAATTTTTGTTGTGTAAGAAAACAACAATATATGTAAGTTGCATAATAAAACAACAATAAATGTAAGTTGTGTAAAAAAACAACAATATATGTAAGTTTGGTAAGAAAACAACAATATATGTAAGTTGTTTAAGAAAACAACAATATATGTAAGTTGCAATTAATAAAACAACAATATATGTAAGTTGCATAAGAAAACAACAATATATGTAAGTTGTGTAAGAAAATAATAATATATGTAAGTTGTGTAAGAAAACAACAATATATGTAAGTTGTTTAAGAAAACAACAATATATGTAAGTTGTGTAAGAAAACAACAATATATGTAAGTTGTCTTAGAAAACAACAATATAGATGTAAGTTGGATAAGAAAACAACAATATATGTAAGTTGTGTAAGAAAATAACAATATATGTAAGTTGCATAATAAAACAACAATATAATGATGTAAGTTGTGTAAGAAAACAACATTATATGTAATAATGAAAGGCATATAAGAAAACAACAATAAAATGTAAGTTAATATTTGTATTAAGATGTAAAATGTTACTTGTATAAGAAGCAAATGTATATAATATAATTCATGTAAAATAACAATGTTTGAAAACATCAATATAATAACACTAATTTGATACGCATACATTATGTCAGTTTAATATGTATCCAACAATAGATGTTCATGTATGTAAAACATTTAATGGAAATGAACAATTAATCATTATATAAGTTATTTGAAAACAACAACAGCAATATGTATGCTTTAAAGTATAAAGAAATTTCAGTATATCAGTTATAAAAAGTTAGGTACATCCTATTAGTGACTATACATATAATGTCCTTGTAATAAGATATTTACATTTCTCTACAGGAGTTCTTCTTACCGGTTTACTTTATCGTGATACTGGCAATCATTCGATTAACTTCACAAAATGACCCGCTTGATCAGTTTGGCAACTTTCCAAATTATTCACTATATGATAGTAGATTCACCTGGACAATGGCTAACAAAAACCTTATAGTATCACCAGATACTGCAGAAGTTCAGCAGTTGATGGCGAACGTGAAACAGTTGATTCTAGACAAGACAAATCAGACGATAGTTATTCAGTATTTCGCTAATGCAACTGAGGTGGAGGCTGAATACGTTCGTAACAAGACAAATATCCTAGCTGGTATTGTCATCAATTATAATAATGGTTCAAATTTGACCTATGCTCTAAGATTTCCCGATGGTAAATTACCAAATACAGACATTGGTAAAACGTATACTGGACAAGGAGGTTGTCGTCGTAGAGATGGAAAAAACGGACAGACTAATGATGGGGGTCTTCAAAATGACTATAGTTGTCAAGTCAATAGCTACCTGTTTGCAGCATTTTCAATATTACAGTCGGCAATTGATACAGCACTGATACAAAAAGAAACCGGAGTTATGACATTTTCTTTACCAGATATACTGGTAGAAATGTTACCGAAATCAGCTTTCCTGCAAGACACAAGCTACATACAGATTGTATCATCAATATATTTCGTGATCGCGTATTCGCCGTTAATAACAATGTTAACTGTAGCATTGGTGGCAGAGAAGGAAAAGAAGATAAAAGAAGGCATGAGAATGATGGGACTTAGATCTTCTGCATTCTGGTAACATTTTCCTCATTTAATAGTACGGTATTATGGGACTTTCCCTTCTCCTATATTCTTGTAATTTTCCTTTCTTTAATTATTAGAACAGTGCTGTATATTATATGACCTTCTGTTGTAGATTAGAATCTTAAATTCTGCTTGTATAGAAACATATTTGTTACGTATAGTATAATTTTTACATATGATTTAATTTAAGCATATTTTTTTTTGCTTTATTGTGATGAAAACTTGGAGCTAGTATTAACATCTACGGAGTCTGATTAAAAGATTTACTAGAACTACTCTACAAGTTGTACAACCATAGCTGTGTCACATGAGAAAATATGTCATTATACACAACACGTTCCTAAAACATGACGTCTTGTTCCCTCCACCTAAATGAATTAGAAACAAGTTATTAACCATTGCCCTCCTGGAACTGAGTGATTAGCCTTTGCCACAAGTTACACAGGGCCGGGCCTGTAGTCTGACTAGGCTGTGTACTGTACGCTTTCTCATTTCAAATTTTCATCTTGATATCCCCAAAATTGATAATGGACGGTTCCAAAAATTGAAGCTGGACAAGTCCATTTAATAGATTCAGCAGGTTTAGGGTTGACCATAACTAATAAATGATGGTTTTTATTTTCAGGATGAGTTATATGTTGGTGTATATTTTTATGATCATAGCTATCACTGGGATAGTAACTATCATCGCAGTGGCAACAAAGTTTTTTGAGAACAGCAATGTATTTCTATTCTTTATGTTGCTGTGTTTGTACGGACTGTCAATCATTGCTTTGGCCTTCTTGTTTACACCATTCTTTAATAAAGCTACTGTAAGTACTAGTTAGCATTGTTAGTATACAATATGTGTAGCCATAAATATAGCCTTCTTTTTTTCTTAATAAAAAAATGATATGTAGGCTGTAGGAAAAAAAGAACATTCAACATTGTGTTCCCATATTTGATTCATTTATTTCTCAAGAAAAGATAATTTATCTCGTTACTAATGTCTTTAAAAGAGATAATATAGCAATAAATATGAATTACCTATGAATGGATTAAATAGTAATTACTTTGAAATAATAGTTAATATTGTTAGAAAACCTATCAGTATGTCAGTATTTTAATACAATCATTTTACTTTGTGTTATATATATTATAGACTGCGGGTGGATTATCAAGTTTGAGTACAATGTTGATCAGCACATTATACCTGATAGTGAGTCTAACACGGACAATAGACGAGGGTACGGGCAACGTAACATACTCGGTACCTGTGTACGGCAGATGGTTACTATGTCTGTTATCACCTGTAGCTCTAGCGCTCGGTATAGATCAGGTAATTATGTCTGTTATCACCTGTAGCTCTAGCTCTCGGTATAGATCAGGTAATTATGTCTGTTATCACCTGTAGCCCTAGCGCTCGGTATAGATCAGGTAATTATGTCTGTTATCACCTGTAGCTTTAGCGCTTGGTATAGATCAGGTAATTATGTCTGTTATCACCTGTTAGCTTTAGCGCTCGATATAGATCAGGTAATTATGTCTGTTATCACCTGTAGCTCTAGCTCTTGGTATAGATCAGGTAATTATGTCTGTTATCACCTGTAGCTCTAGCGCTCGGTATAGAGTCAGGTAATTATGTCTGTTATCACCTGTAGCTCTAGCATTGGGTAAATAGATCAGGTAATTATGTCTGTTATCACCTGTAGCTCTAGGGCTTGGTATAGATCAGGTTATTATGTCTGTTATCACCTGTAGCTCTAGCGCTCGGTATAGATCAGGTAATTATGTCTGTTATCACCTGTAGCTCTAGCGCTCGGTATAGAGTCAGGTAATTATGTCTGTTATCACCTGTAGCTCTAGCTCTCGGTTTAGATCAGGTAATTATGTCTGCTATCACCTGTAGCTCTAGCGCTCTGTATAGATCAGGTAATTATGTCTGTTATCACCTGTAGCTCTAGCATTGGGTATAGATCAGGTAATTATGTCTGTTATCACCTGTAGCTCTAGCATTGGGTATAGATCAGGTAATTATGTCTGTTATCACCTGTAGCTCTAGCATTGGGTATAGATCAGGTAATTATGTCTGTTATCACCTGTAACTCTAGCGCTCGGTATAGATCAGGTAATTATGTGTGTTATCACCTGTAGCTCTAGCGCTCGGTATAGATCAGGTAATTATGTCTGTTATCACCTGTAGCTCTAGCGCTCGGTATAGATCAGGTAATTATGTCTGTTATCACCTGTAGCTCTAGCGCTCGGTAAAAATCAGGTAATTATGTCTGTTATCACCTGTAGCTCTAGCGCTCGGTAATAGATCAGGTAATTATGTCTGTTATCACCTGTAGCTCTAGCTCTCGGTATAGATCAGGTAATTATGTCTGCTAGCACCTGTAGCTCTAGCGCTCAGTATAGATCAGGTAATTATGTCTGTTATCACCTGTAACTCTAGCACTCGGTATAGATCAGGTAATTATGTCTGTTATCACCTGTAGCTCTAGCTCTTTAAATAGATCAGGTAATTATGTCTGTTATCACCTGTAGCTCTATCACTCGGTATTGATCAGGTAATTATGTCTGTTATCACCTGTAGCTCTAGCGCTCTGTATAGATCGGGTTATTATGTCTGTTATCACCTGTAGCTCTAGCGCTCGTTATAGATCAGGTAATTATGTCTGTTATCACCTGTAGCTCTAGCTCTTGGTATAGATCAGGTAATTATGTCTGTTATCACCTGTAGCTCTAGCTCTTGGTATAGATCAGGTAATTATGTCTGTTATCACCTGTAGCTCTACGCTCGGTATTGATAAGGTAATTATGTCTGTTATCACCTGTAGCTCTACTGCTCGGTATTGATTAGGTAATTATGTCTGTTATCATCTGAAGCTCTAGCGCTCTGTATAGATCAGGAAATTATGTCTGTTATCACCTGTAGCTCTAGCACTCTGTATAGATCAGGTAATTATGTCTGTTATCACCTGTAGCTCTAGCACTCTATAGATTAGGTAATTACGTCTGTTATCACCTGTAGCTTTAGCACTCTATAGATTGGGTTATTATGGCTGTTATCACCTGTAGCTCTAGCGCTCCGTATAGATCAGGTAATTATGTCTGTTATCACCTGTAGCTTTAGCACTCAGTATAGATCAGGTAATTATGTCTGTTATCACCTGTAGCTTTAGCACTCTATAGATTGGGTTATTATGTCTGTTATCACCTGTAGCTCTAGCACTCTGTATAGATCAGGTAATTATGTCTGTTATCACCTGTAGCTCTAGCACTCTATTGATTGGGTTATTATGTCTGTTATCACCTGTAGCACTAGCGCTCGGTATAGATCAGGTAATTATGTCTGTTATCACCTGTAGCTCTAACGCTCTGTATAGATCAGGTAATTATGTCTGTTATCACCTGTAGCTCTAGCACTCGGTATAGATTGGGTAATTATGTCTGTTATCACCTGTCTGTTATCACATGTAGCTCTAGCGCTCTGTATAGATCAGGTAATTATGTCTGTTATCACCTGTAGCTCAAGCACTCTGTATAGATCGGGTAATTATGTCTGTTATCACCTGTAGCTTTAGCGCTCAGTATAGATCAGGTAATTATGTCAGTTATCAAATGTAGCTTTAGCGCTCAGTATAGATCAGGTAATTATGTCTGTTATCACCTGTAGCTCTAGCGCTCGGTATTGATCAGGTAATTATGTCTGTTATCATCTGTAGCTCTAGCGCTCTGTATAGATCGGGTTATTATGTCTGTTATCACCTGTAGCACTAGCGCTCAGTATAGATCAGGTAATTATGTCAGTTATCACTTGTAGCTTTAGCACTCAGTATAGATCAGGTAATTATGTCTGTTATCACCTGTCTGTTATCACCTGTAGCTCTAGCACTCTGTATAGATCGGGTAATTATGTCTGTTATCTCATGTAGCTCTAGCGCTCTGTGTAGATCAGGTTATTATGTCTGTTATCACCTGTAGCTCTAGCACTCTATAGATTGGGTAATTATGTCTGTTATCACCTGTAGCTCTAGCACTCTATAGATTGGGTGATTATGTCTGTTATCACCTGTAGCTCAAGCGCTCAGTATAGATCAGGTAATTATGTCTGTTATCACCTGTAGCTCTAGCTCTCGGTATAGATCAGGTAATTATGTTTGTTATCACCTGTAGCTCAAGCACTCTGTATAGATCAGGTAATTATGTCTGTTATCACCTGTAGCTTTAGCACTCAGTATAGATCATAATTAAGATCAGGTAATTATGTCTGTTATCACTTATAGTTCTACCGCTCGGTATAGATCATGTAATTATTCGTTATCACCTGTAGCTCTAGCACTCGGTATAGATCAGGTAATTATGTCTGTTATCACCTGTAGCTCTAGCCCTCTGTATAGATCAGGTAATTCAAACCTTTCTATGAAAACATAAATTTTAGTGCTATGGTTAGATTTTGACATATAGACATCATTTTTTAGCTCACCTGTCACAAAGTGACAGGGTGAGCTTTTGTGATCGCTTTTTGTCTGGCGTCCGTCCGTCGTCCGTCCGTCCGTAAACTTTTACTTTAAATGACATCTCATCATAAACCACTAAGCCAATTTCATCCAAACTTCACAGGAATGTTTCTTTTGTGGTGACCTTTAAAAATTGTTCAAAGAATTTAATTCCATGCAGAACTCTGGTTGCCATGGCAACCGAAAGAAAAAACTTTAAATATCTTCTTTTAAAAAACCCAAAGAGCTAGAGCTTAGATATTTGGCATGAAACATCTTCTAGCGAGTGTCTACCAAGTTTGTTCAAATAAAAGCCCTGGGGTCAAAATTGGCCCCGCCCCGGGGGGTCATTGATTTTCCCTATATGCATATAGTAAAAACTTAAAAAATCTTCTTTTAAAGAACCCAAAGACCTAGAGCTAAGATATTTAGCATGAAATATGTTCTAATGGGTGTCTACCAAGTTTGTTCAAATAAAAGCCCTGGGGTCAAAATTGGCCCCGCCCCAGGGGGTCATTGATTTTCCCTGTATGCATATAGTAAAAACTTAAAAAATCTTCTTTTAAAAAACCCAAAGAGCTAGAGCTAAGATATTTAGCATGAAACATGTTCTAATGGGTGTCTACCAAGTTTGTTCAAATAAAAGCCCTGGGGTCAAAATTGGCCCGCCCCGGGGTGTCATTGATTTTCCCTATATGCATATAGTAAAAACTTAAAAAATCTTCTTTTAAAGAACTCAAAGAGCTATGGCTAAGATATTGAGCATCAAACATGTTCTAATGGGTGTCTACCAAGTTTGTTCAATTAAAAGCCCTGGGGTCAAAATTGGCCCCGCCCCAGGGGTCATTGATTTTCCTTATATGTGTATATAGCAAAAACTTAAAAAATCTTCTTTGAAAAAACCCAAATAGCTAGAGTTAAGACATTAAGCATGAAACATCTTTTAGTGAGTGTCTTAAAAGTTTGTTCAAATAAAAGACCTGGGGTCAAAACTGGTCCGGCCCCAGGGGTGTCATTGTTTTTAACTATATGTGTATAGTAAAAACTTTAAAAAAATCTTCTTTTAAAAAGCCCAATGAGCTAGAGCTTAGATGTTTAGCATGAAACATCTTCTTATGGGTGTCTACCAAGTTTGTGCAAATAAAAGCCCTTGGGTTAAATTGTCCCTGCAATGTTGGGGAGGTGGGGGTTGTGGGGGGGGCCTATATACAGGTGAGCGATCTCAAGGCCATCATGGCCCTCTTGTTAACTTTAACACCCCAATGTATACTTACTATCTTGAACTTAAAGTTAGATAATAAAAAAAGGTTGGTCTAATCGTGTGAAGATCGTTCATTAGGCATGCCACTGGTATGTTATGTTTGTTTAGCATGCTGTTCTGTTTAGAATGTATTGAAGTCTTGTAATGCTTGTAAAATACATGAACCAATGGGATTCACGTGTTCTTTAAGAAGAAACTCTGAGGAAAGAAAGCCTGTAATAATAATTACAGTGGCACTTTATCTATTTTACTTGATGATAACAGTGGCAACAATGATAACTTGTCTCTGTACCAGAGATACAGCTTTATTATAGCATTTCAGCATTAATATTTATTTCTTAAACTCAAAATTCACTGTGAATTTAGATGGGTAAACTTTAGAGGTTAAAGGTTAAACGTCTTTCAGCATTTGACTGAACCACTTACCCTGCAGAATGTTTGTAATAGATTTTGTCCTTCTGTGAATTTGGATAAGTCTAATTAAAAGTTTAGGTATTTTATTAACAAAATATAAAAGTTGAGCTACCAGCAGTAAAGAGCCTGGTCAGACTGTTCTGGTGTACTGACTAGCCTGGCTCTATACTGGTGACAAAAGGCTGGTCTGTTCTTGTCCCAGCAAGTAGATTAAAAATTTAGCAGTGTTAATGTTAATCATTCAACATATGACTTTAAAGAGAGTTAGATCACATGTGCTTGATTATATTATAAATATTGTTCACTTCAGATAGAATAAGATAACATATTTGTCTCACTATGTGCTTGTTATCTGTGTCACCTAACTGTTTACAATGTTATTCAATGTCAAGTGAGGTTGACTCAAAATGTTATCAAGCAGTTACCTCAATGTTCTGTTAACATTCAGGTTATCTATCTGTGTTACAAATAAACCATATAATGTATTTTGAAATTTTTATCAGAATAAAAGTTAGTTTATCTGTGTATAACGCAATATCTATAAACTGACCTGTTTGCGTTGTCAAGGACAAATGTTTACTTGTAGGGTAACAAGGTTTCTAATTAAATTAAGCATTAACTATTTAGGCCAAAAGGTTAAGTAATTAGAAATTAGTACCAACTGTACATGTATGGTAAGCATTACAAAAAATCATGTTTGAATGAAAAAGTTTATTCCTAATTTACTTTTAAAAAATGTATCCAATTTTTATGCTCCCCGAAAAATTTCAGGGGAGCATATAGTCGGCGCCTTATCCGTCCGTCCGTCCGTCCGTCCGTCCGTCCGTCCGTTGTCTTGTCCGGAGCATAACTTGAAAACCCTTGGAGATAATTTGTTTAAACTTCATACAGTGGTAGAGGGCATTGAAGGGGAGTGCAGTGTCAAAGAACCATAACTCTATTTTGCCCGGTTATTGAATTATCTCCCCTTATAGAAAAATCTTGTCCGGGCATAACTTTAAAACTATAGGAGATATCAACATGAAACTTTTGTAGGTGAATACATCTTAATGGGTAGATGTGCAGTGCATAAGAACAATAACTCTTTTTTGTCCTAATTTTGGAGTTATTGCCCTTTGTTAATTTCAACACTTTGAACTTTGTCCGGAACATAACTCTAAAACTATAAGAGATATCAAGATGAAACATTTGTAGGTAGATATATCTCATTGAGTAGAAGTGCAGTGCAAAAAGAACCATAACTCTGTTAAAGCCTCATTTTTGAATTATCTCCCCTTTTTAGAAAAATCTTGTACTGGACATAGCTGTAAAACTACAAGAGATATGAACATGAAACTTTGTAGGTAGATATATCTCAATGGGTAGATGTGCAGTGCACAAGAATCATAACTCTGCCTTGCCTATTTCTGGAGTTATTGCCCTTTGTTTATTTTTACTTTTTTGAAGTTGTCCGGAACATAACTCGGAAACCATAACAGATATGAACAAGAAAACTTTGTAGGTTGATAAATCACAGTGATTAGAAGTGCAGTGGCAAAGAACAGTAAAACTCTGGGCCTTGCCTAATTTTGGAATTATTGCACTTTTGAACTATTTTTCCAGGGACATAACTCTGAAACTACAAGAGGTGTTACTTTCCTGTGTCCAAAAAACCTATTCGGGGAGCATCACCCGGCTCAAACCGGGCTCTTGTTTTTACAGTAGAAATTTTCAGTACTCTAGCGATCTATATTTGTACTAATATGTAAAAAAGGTTAAAAAAGTAATTTGCAAGGTGAAACAAAAAAAAGCAAAAAAATTTAGAATATATGACTGGGAAAAGGCAATTTTAAAAACAAAAAATTGGGCAGTTATAAAGCCATATCTCAAATAAATTGAAGTGTAATTTTTAAAAAGGGTATGATTTATTTTTTTGTTTTTTTGTTTTTTTTTCTTCAAAAAGTCTAGTCTGCTTCTAAGTTTGTTATATGACTTGAAAACCTGACTAATTGGTGGAAATTAACTTTGCATTTTAATATACAAGGTTAAAAGTCAAGCATATTATTTGACAGTGTATTTTTTCCTGATTATGGTATATGGTTTAGTCTGAAGTAGAGTTAAAATCTCCTATGAATATTTCAAATGACAAAGGACACAGTCACAGTTTTAGAAAAAAAATGTACAATAATAAATTTAGGGTTTAAAATAGTGAGATAACATAGTCTATATATTTCAGGCGATATTTCTGGATATACGTGGAGGTATGACGTTTGAAACTGCCAGTCAGGGAGAATTCCCATTGTATGGTCCACTCCTTATGTTGTTACTAGATGCAATACTTTACTTTGCCCTGGCAGTCTACTTTGATAATGTTATACCAGGTTAGAGTTCTTGTGTTGTTGTTGTTTTTAGCTCACCTGTCACAAAGTGACAGGGTGAGCTTTTGCGATCGCTTTTCGTCCGTCGTCCGTCCGTCGTCCGTCCGTCGTCCGTCCGTCCGTAAACTTTTACTTTAAATGACATCTCCTCATAAACCACTAAGCCAATTTCATCCAAACTTCACAGGAATGTTCCTTTGGTGGTCACCTTTTAAAAATTGTTCAAAGAATTTAATTCCATGCAGAACTCTGGTTGCCATGGCAACCGAAAGAAAAAACTTTAAATATCTTCTTTTAAAAAACCATAAGAGCTAGAGCTTAGATATTTGGCATGAAACATCTTCTAGTGTGTTTCTACCAAGTTTGTTCAAATAAAAGCCCTGGGGTCAAAATTGGCCCCGCCCCGGGGGGTCATTGATTTTCCCTATATGCATATAGTAAAAACTTAAAAAATCTTCTTTTAAAGAACCCAAAGAGCTAGAGCTAAGATATTTAGCATGAAACATGTTCTAATGGGTGTCTACCAAGTGTGTTCAAATAAAAGCCCTGGGGTCAAAATTGGCCCCGCCCCAGGAGGTCATTGATTTTTTCCTATATGCATATAGTAAAAACTTAAAAAATCTTCTTTTAAAGAACTCAAAGAGCTATGGCTAAGATATTGAGCATCCAAACATGTTCTAATAGGTGTCTACCAAGTTTGTTCAAATAAAAGCCGTGGGGTCAAAATTGGCCCCGCCCCAGGGGGTCATTGATTTTCCCTATATGCATATAGTAAAAAATCTTCTTTTAAAGAACCCAAAGAGTTAGAGCTAAGATATTTGGCATGAAAACATGTTATAATAAGTGTCTACCAAGTTTGTTTCAAATAAAAAGCCCTGGGGTCAAAATTGGCCCCGCCCCAGGGGTGTCATTGTTTTTAACTATATGTGTATAGTAAAAACTTTAAAAAAATCTTCTTTTAAAAAGCCCAATGAGCTAGAGCATAGATGTTTAGCATGAAACATCTTCTTATGGGTGTCTACCAAGTTTGTGCAAATAAAAGCCCTTGGGTTAAAATTGGCCCTGCAACGTTGTGGGGGGGGGGTGGGGGGCCTACATACAGGTGAGCGATCTCAGGGCCATCATGGCCCTCTTGTTATCTTGGGTTAAAGGTCACACCAACACAGTATAAGGTCATATTGCGACTTTCCAGCTTTACTGGTGGAAGAAGACCTTAGGTGCCCATCTGTACATTATTTCAGGCACTATCAGGCACCTGAGTAGAACCAACGATGTTCCGTAATCTAGCTGGATAGCTTTCTCAGTTGAATGCTGGCACAGCTTGAACCTATAGCAATGAGAGACATATGACCTATACTCTGTTGTGACGTAAAACACAACCAAAATAAAAAATGTATCTCACTCTTACCAACATTATCCCATCTGCCTTGATTTGTTGTCAGTTATTGTGCTAAATACTATCAACATCATTATCTATGGAATAACAGACCTCTTTTATGGATTAATTCACTTTAAATATTAATGTTTTTGTTATTGTTATTTATTCCAGATTTTAAAATGTGACTGTATTATTATATAGGGAGAAAGTGAACATTATTCGTGAGAACTATTTTATCTACATGTCTGGTACAATATTACAGGAGAGTATGGTCCCCGGTACAAGCCTTGGTTTATCTTTACAAAGACTTTCTGGTGCCCGGCTAAGAGAGCAACAGAGACGGCAGCAGCCTATACAAATCAAGTTATACTACAAATAGATAACCATACTGATGAGGTGACAGAGGGGGCAGAAGTGGAACCAGTCCCTGTATCCATGGAATCAAAAGTTGCTATAACGTAAGTGAGCAAGAATTCTTTGAGACAGATATATTACCTAGAGAAACACCTTTTAAACTTTGAAACATTTGAAGTATTTCTTTGTAAACTGTAGCATGCCGGGGCACCTGAAGGTTTTAAAAATAGTATAGTCGAAATGTTTATTTTTTTAGTATCAACAACTTGACAAAATGTTTTGAAGTGAAGAAGGAGAAAAAGAAGGAAACAGTGAAAGCAGTGAACGGTAAGTTCATTATTGTTTCATTTTCATTATATTAAAGTGACATTATGCTCATCCAAGTGTAAATGGTCAGTAAACAGGTAAAAATAAAAATAATTTGACATTTTGTCATAACTTTGTTTAATTTTATATTTCATGATGGTAATTAACCAATAAACCACGTGGTCAACATATATAATTATTGTTTAAGAGTGGAGCTGTCTTTTTATAATTTTGATAGTTTTTATCTGGTATCATATACATTTTTTGTTATCAATTATTAGTTCGTCACCATTATTATACCCAATCTTTAGAAATATATAACTAATTCAACTGAACTTGACATGAAAAAATTAGCATAATGTCACTTTGATTGTTATAAAAAATATATTCATTATTTTGTCCTAAAAGTCCAATAAGTTTTAAGCTTAAATTTTGTCTTGCTGTAACTGTATGATACAGATTACTGTGAACAAGGGTTTGACCATCTTGTCGAAATAAGTTATGGATAAAGATTTAGAAAAAGAACTTTCAAAATATGCAGACATTAGACTTTGCATTTTTTCTTAATGTTTTGAATTATTGTAACTTTTAGGATAACAAATATGTCAGTCATTGGGGAAACTTTATTGTGTATAATACTATGTATTTATGTACAGGTTTCCCTGACAGTATATTATTTACTGTGTTTTTATGAGTTATGCACCTTGGAATTAGAAAAATTTCAATTATTTACAGTTTTTGCTCATTTTCTTCACATAGGTTTAATCCCTGACAATACAATGTATATCATTATACTGTGTATTTATGTACAGGTTTATCACTGACAACATATGATATACTGTGTATTTATGTACAGATTTATCCCTGACAATATATCATATAGTGCGTATTTACGTACAGATTTATCCCTGACAATATATCATAAACTGTGTATTTATGTACAGGTTTTATCCCTGACAATATATGATATACTGTGTATTTATGTACAGGTTTTATCCCTGACAATATATGATCTACTGTGTATTTATGTACAGATTTTATCCCTGACAATATATCTAATATTCTATGTTTTTATGTACAGGTTTATCGCTGACAATATATCAAGATCAGATAACTGCTATTCTCGGACATAATGGGGCAGGAAAGACAACTCTGCTTAACATTCTAACAGGCATGACTGGTGCTACATCAGGGAGCGCCAGAGTTCTTGGACTGGTATACATATTTTATTCTATAAAATGTTGAATTTGTGATATATATAAAAATGTTTAATGAATATAATGAACAGATGATTTAGTAGTTTTTAGACATATTCAGCATGTTCATCGTATAAATATACATGTACATTAACTGTATTCAAACTTCATTCAAAGGACGGCACTTGTCAGATTAGAATTTCTGAAGAAAAAGGAAAAAACAAGAATTTACTAGTATAATTATATAATATTATGTAAGCCACATCACGACAAAACCAACATAGTGCGTTTGCAACCAGCATGGATCCAGACCAGTCTGCGCATCCACAAAGTCTGATCAGGATCCATGCTGTTTGCTTACCAACCCTATAACAAGTAGAGAAACTGATAGCAAACAGCATGGATCCTGATCAGACTGCACGGATGCATAGGCTGGTCTGGATCCATGCTGGTTGCAAACGCACTATGTTGGTTTTGTCGTGACGCGGCTCATATATATTTACGTATAACATGATAATTATACAGGATGTGTCCGACGCCCAGGACGTGGAGACAATGAGACGTATCACGGGAATTTGTCCACAACATAACATATTGTTTGATGACTTCACGTGTCTCGAACATCTCCGAATATTTGCCGGCATAAAAGGCATAGATAAAAGCCAAGTTGAGACCGAGGTAAACTCAACAACTAATTGAAAAATAGTGATATTAATAAATAAACTGTAAACTTTTGTTTTATGTCAGTGGAAATATAAGTAATCTTATTACTTACTCTTTGTTTTATTGAATGTGAAAATGTTATAAAACTGAATGTTGCGAACCATTGTAAGATATACCAAAATAATATCATGTTGGTTGTTAAATTACGCAATTTAAAATGGCTACTATAATACAATAATCTTGATATTATCTTTAATTCGTATCCAACTGATAAACTGTATTCAGTTAGGCGTATTAACTGATAAATATTAAAATATAACCAATTAATATTTTTAACTGATAAATGTTAAAATGTTTGCCAATTCAAGTCTGGAAACAGATTTGCTAACACTGAGTTGTAAGTAAAATATTTTGACCATTGTTGTTTTCAGATCAACGCTGCCTTGGATAGTGTAGGTCTCAAGGACCAGAAAAATACAATATCAAAGAGTTTGAGTGGTGGTCAGAAACGTAAACTGTCTGTAGCTATAGCTGTACTAGGAGATCCCAAGGTGTGTACATGTGGCTGGGTGTACATGTGGGTGAATATGTACATGTGGCTAAGTGTACATATGGGTATGTGTGCATGTGGGTCCATTTGTGTCCATGTGGGTGTGTATGTGCTCATGTGTGTGTACATGTGGCTATGTGTACATGTGGGTATGTGTACATGTGGCTGGGTGTACATGTGGGTATGTGTACATTAGGGTCCATTTGTGTCCATTTGGGTGTGTGTGCATATGTGTGTGTACATGTGTGTGCATATGCCTGTGTGTACATATGGGTGTGTATACATGTGTGTGCATATGTGTTGTGTACATGTGGGTTAATACACCAAGTACCATGTTATATTATAGTTTTTAATGAATTCTGAACTCCTACTTATTTTATAACTTCATAGCTAAAAAACTTTTATGTTTTTTCAAGGCGTTGAGTAAATATAATATATTTTTAGTCTAATGGTTCCTTATGGAAAATATGTAACCTTTTCCTATCAAATTAAATTTACACCTTGTACTTGTTTTCCTGTAGAAGATATAATTTTATGTACTATACTATATCATGTACAAATAGAAATTTATGCTGTAAGATTAACATGTTTGAAATGTATTGAGTGTAATGTTTTACGAGTTTGTTCTATAAATAGATCATAATACTGGACGAGCCTACAGCAGGTATGGATCCTTACTCCCGACGCCACCTATGGGCAGTACTAAAAGAGAAAAAGAAGGGGAGAATAATTCTTCTTACTACACATTTTATGGATGAGGCTGACATATTGACAGGTAGAAAATAGTGAAATTTACATATACATTGTTCTTTCCTGTATGTGTTTAAAGAAGCCTTTCTTGACTTCAAACCACTTGCCCCTCACTGCTGTTGGTTCGAATCCCGGCAGGGACTTTGGATTCTGTCATGTGAGGAAGCTATCCAGCTAGCTTACGGAACGACAGTGATTCTACTTAGGTGCCTGTTTGTGCCTGAAATAATGCATGGAAGGGCTCCTGAGGTCTTCCTCCATCAGTAAAGCTGGAATGTCGCCAAATGACCTATACTGTGTTGATGTGACGTAAATCCCAAAACAAACAAACAAAGAAGCCTTTCACTCTGAACATGTTTAATAAAGCCTTTTGTTAATAAGCTTTCTGTTTTATATGACTGTTTAAATTAGATTTATAAATTAGCCTTTAATTTCAGTATGTTTTCTTTTGTGTTTTATGTATGTTTAAATCAGTGCTTCTTTTCTATATGTGTTTGAATTATCATTTTAGACTTTCTTTTCTGTATGTGTTTGGGTTAGCTTTTGTGTTTTATATGTTTTAATAAGTCTTTCTGTTCTATGTGTGTTTTAATAAGCCTTTCTTTCCTGTATGTGTTTGAATTGGTCTTTCTGTTTTATATACAGTGTATTTTTAAATTAGCCGTTATTTTCTGTATGTGTTTAAATAAGTCTTCCTTTTCTATAATTATGTGTTTAAATGAGCATAAAGTTTTACATTTATATATTATCACAGACAGGAAGGCCATTGTTAGTAAGGGAACTCTCAGATGTTGTGGATCATCTCTATTTTTGAAGAACCGATTTGGACTGGGATATCATTTAAAGTAAATACATTACTTTTTTTATTTATTAAGTTATTGATTTTTAAGTTGTTGTTGTTGTTGTTGTTGTTGTTTGCAGAAATACTTAAAAGAACATAGAATAAACTAATTTATAACTAGATATATTTATTGAATATTGTTATTAAATAAATGTCATAAATTTTATTAATAATAAAAATAAATTTGAAATTAAAGGACTTGCACAATAAAATGAAATAGTACAAAATTTATATAAAAATGTTTCAAATAATTTAAAATTTTAAGGTGGTATTTTAATTCATTGTACATTGTACTTAGAATATGTTAGCCTTATTTTACTTTAAGTTTATATATGTGTGATATTTGGGCAACATTTGGGTATATTTGGTATTTGGGTATTTCAAAAATTAGAAACTCAAAAAAAAAAAATTGATATTTCATAATTCTGGTATGATAGTGGATTTATACATGTGACATGGCATGGTAGCGAATTATTATACTGTTACATTTACAGTATGGTAGTGAATTTATACGTGTAACATAGCATGGTAGTGGTTTATTATAATGTTATATTTACAGTATGGTATTGGATTTATACAATTGACATAGCATGGTAGTGGTTTATTATAATGTTATATTTACAGTATGGTATTGGATTTATACATGTGACATAGCATGGTAGTGGTTTATTATAATGTTATATTTACAGTATGGTATTGGATTTATACATGTGACATAGCATGGTAGTGGTTTATTATAATGTTATATTTACAGTATGGTATTGGATTTATACATGTGACATAGCATGGTAGTGGTTTTTATAATGTTATATTTACAGTATGGTAGTGGATTTATACATGTGACATAGCATGGTAGTGGTTTATTATAATGTTATATTTACAGTATGGTATTGGATTTATACATGTGACATAGCATGGTAGTGGTTTATTATAATGTTATATTTACAGTATGGTATTGGATTTATACATGTGACATAGCATGGTAGTGGTTTATTATAATGTTATATTTAAAGTATGGTAGTAGTTTATTATAATGTTATATTTACAGTATGGTAATGGTTTCATTATAATGTAATATTTACAGTATGGTAATGGTTTTATTATAATGTTATATTTACAGTATGGTAGTGGAACCGGACTGTGACACTCAGAAGGTCAGTAATTTAGTTTCAGGAATTGTATCCGGGTCAGAAATTAACAGAGTACACGGGAAGGAACTTGATATTACTCTACCATATGATGGTGTCAGTAAATTCTCAGGTAAATTAACCTTAATAAGTTAATATGAAAAAGGCAAAGCCTCAAAGCGAGCTCGATGTACCTTTTACGTGAAATACATGTCATATGAAATTTTCGCTCATTTTTAGACGAGTGCGTGTGACGTCACACGTACTGTGTTAAATATGGCTCCGCCCCTGTCGTAAAATGAATAACGAGTTTTGAAAACGTTGATAAAACTTTGTTTATTTTATTTAACTCTATATTTTTTCAAGCGAAATAAAGATTATTTAAAGTGAAATAAATGTAAAACTTAAAACGTTTGCGACATTAAAATATCGTACTTGATTTGTTTGTTTTGCACGTGCTGTTTAACGCTACATTGTGACGTCACGTAAACAATACTTTAAACGCCTGTACAGCGTTAACGACTGAATAAAAGATATTGGTGTTCGGATTCATTTTCTTAGTTAAACCATTTTCTTTCATTCTAGATAGTTTTCACAACAAAATTCGACAAAAAATTGTTTTTATTTATCAGACAAACAAAATGGCGCCTTCGATTTTCATTTTATCATTCACAGCTTCCGTTATTCTGGTTCCCTGTCCAATTATGGTTCCCATAGACTTGCGCGGGTGACCAGTCTACACATCCGTTTTCAGTCAGAATTCCTCAGTTTTTATCGTAATCTTTAAATTCGAAAGGTTGCGATGTGTCCAATTCGGTACTTTGGACGAAAGTTTTCAAAACCATCACTTAGCAGGTACTCGCGTTACCGTAAAGCTCGCTTTGGGCCAGCTCGTCGAGCTCGCTATAACCCTAAATATCTTTAATGGACTTGTCCATCTTTCAAACTGGACAAATGCATTCATCAGTTTCATGGAAATTTTAAAGTAGATAACTGTTGTATACCAATTAATTACCCCTATTTAATAATTATGATTCCAAAATAATGCTTGCTTATATTTCTTACAGATAAAAAAATGTGAATGCTGTATGAGTTATTTTATTGATAGTGTGATATAATGTCAAAAAGATTTAAAAGATAAACATATATGCTTGTTCTATCAAAGCTTCAAGGTAGAAGAAAACAAATATAACAGTTTTGCATCGGAATATATTTCACCTTGCGCCACTCGTGAAATATACCTTTTGGTGCTCACTCGGTGAAATATATTCCGATCTTACACTAAACTAAACAAATTTTCTTTTTATTATATGCAAAGAGACATTAAACCTAATACTGAATGAAAAGCGCGCCAAATAATAATACAGTGTGACGTCATTTACGACGTCACGTCATTAAGTTGGTACCCAGTTCTGTGCACGCTGGTATTTCACTGAAACAACGTAAGGGGCTTAAATTCAAAACAGTGAAATTATCAAAGTGGTAATTTCACTGTTTCAAACAGTGAAATTACCAGTTTTTATATCACTGATATATTTCTATAAACCACCGAAAAGCATGTAATACATTTATTTAGCACTGCTCAGTAGATAATTTTATGTTGTTTATTTATTTTAGAGTTGTTTTCAACATTAGAAAATCCGTCAACAGGGAAGTCCCTCGGGGTGAAAAACTTTGGCGTTTCCATGACAACTTTAGAAGAAGTTTTTCTAAAACTTGGTAATCAATGACTCATACATGATTCTTCTTTAGTTTATTTTCTTTAAAGAATTGTTAAACATATAAAAATGTTGATGCCATGCATATATTGTGTAATAATGCACTTGTCTGCTTAATTTGTTTGTTTGTTTGTTTGTTTAATATTGTAATAATGTGAAGAGTTTTAGAATTTATATAACATTAATCTATGTTTGTCATCTTGCCAAATTGATTGTCAGAAACTTACTTCAACATGATTATGCTGGATGAAGGAAAGGGTCGTTTATGACTAAATGATTATAGTAGCTAATATTATATGCTAACCTCATGCCATTGAAGTCTGTCATAAGAACAATGAATCAAGTTGTTTTGTGAGAAGTGTGTAACTCTACTAATTTACCAGCTAGTACCTCAAAAAATGACAGAAAAAACTTATGTGTTATACAAAAATCCCCCAAATATATGATAGAAAGACAGATCAAGAAATGATCACCGTCACCTAATAGTTATATTTTATGTTTGACTATTAGAATGATAGTACAGCTATTAAACTCATCTTGGCATTAGTATAAAACTTGGTGAAGGTTACGTAAGAAAATTTATTTCTTATTTACTTATGAAGTTATTTGCTTAAAATTATATGCCTGTCCTAGGGGTATATTCTTGTACAATGTAGGTCTCTGGACCAGAACTCCAACATGATGTTTTACTTAATTATTATGAATTTTCATGTAAAAACAAGTGTTCATGTGTAAAATAATAAATATAAAATCACTGTATTGAAAACTCTGCAATTTGAATACTGTACATGTATTATAAATTTTATGTTTATATTATTATAGAGGAAGAAATAGATATAGAGGTAGATGACACTGGTAGAGCCAGCAATTATTCTGATTCAACAAAGTTACTTCCCTTACCATACAAACCTGGTAGCTATGGTACCGAGGCCAATAACATACCTGAACGTGAAGACAATCCATCGGACACAGTCACGTGTGTTGAAGGGAAAACTTTATTCATGCAGAGGTTTAAAGCCCTGTGTATGTTGCGTGTAAAGAAATTCCTCAAAACAGGACCCTACGTGTTTAGTCAGCTGTTTATGCCAGTCATATTCTTAGTGGTTGGCTTAGTTCTGTCAAAAGTGTTAGCCGGAAACACGAAATCCACATCCCAGCAGCCCCCCCTGAACATCTCGCCTAATCTGTATACTAAAGTAAAGGCTGCATCTAACCAGTACTTTCCATATAGTACTGTACCAAGATTACTGATACAAGATGATGTCAGTAAGTTATATTTGCCTTGTTTTCACTATTACACTTACGCTCTACAATATACATGTATACAATGAAATATGTACTTACTGTACAAAACAGGAACCAGGACAATATTTGTAATAAATTTGTTAATTTAAAGTGTGTCAGGCTATAACTGGTGGATTATATTTAAAACATTTCAGAAATCAAAAAAATAATATTATTGTTTTCATATTTTTATGACCTTATCTAGAGAAAATTTTAACAAAAAAATATATCATATATGTAAGTTATATATTTAACTCTCATGAATTTTCTATGAAAACAGAATATAGCCTATATATTTAGTAGGTTTCATCATCACAACATATATGCACCACACACTTCATTAGAAATTTACAAAATTATTGAAATGCGATGGTTCTATGTTTAGATATGCCAGTTCTATATCCTGAATGTCATGACTCAATATCTGATTGTTACTCTTATATGATTCTTTATTTTACATTGAAATGTGAAAGTTCAATATTTAAATGTGATGATTCTATATTTAAATGTGACAGTTTTATGTTCAAATGTGACAGTTTTATGTTCAAATGTGATTGCGCTTTTAATTAACTGCAACATATTGTTTATAGATTCTAGTCTATCACGATCAATGATTGGAAATCTGGCAACCGTCTATGATGTGAACGAATATGATAACTCGTACTACACAGATACGTTTAAACTTCTTGAAAATGATGTTTCTCCACATTACATTGGCATACAGTTTGATACCCTCACTCAAAATGGACAGGTAGTAAAGTTGTAAATTTTATAACACATTGTGCAGTTGGATCAGGCTCTAAAATCTTGACAAACTTTAAATGTTTGTTTTAATATCACCAAGTTGATTATGGACAGTTCCAAAAATGGAAGCTGGACAAGTCCATTTAAGAAACTCAGAAGGTTAAAGCTGAATGTAATATTGTAAGGTCTGCTTCACACAGGTCGAGAAGTTAACACAGTACATGTATATTATGATGGTAATGCCAGGATTTCCCCTTCATGAAGTGATTATTTTAAATCTTTTATAAATAATTAAATATATACTTTGCATTTATTGTGTTTTCATGTAAACTTTTTAATATGTTGCTTAGACAATCAGTGAAAAATAACATACAATAATGTATTTAAAAGATTTTAATACTTCTATATGGTTAAAAAAAAAATTTTCTGTGTGAAGAACTATACTTATTTTGGTCACTAGTAGAAACATTAAAGTTATAAAATACTCATTTATATATTTCAGGCCATAGATGCTACATACAAGGTGATGTATAATGACTCAGCAATTCATTCTATCCCAGCATCCATTGCTCTAGTCAGTAACTTCCTGTTGATGGGTATAGAGACAATAACACAAGGAGCAGCAGGTAAAGATTTTGTTTTTAACCTTTAACCTAGTATGTTAATTTCTTAAATAGATTTATCCAACTTTCAGTTTTGGAACTGTCTATTATCAGTTTTGGGGATATCAAGATGAAAACATAAACTATGTCAGTCAACAGTATATAGCCCAAAATCCTCACAGTGATTACCTCCCTTTACAGATTGTAATCACTGCCTTCGCAGATGTAACATGATGATAAAAGTCACATGACGTAAAGTTGAAATTCGAATGTAAATATCGACCGTTACATAGAAAATATAACTTCATTTTTCTCTTGCTGTTTTATTTTTTAACTTTTCGTACCTACGTTCGTTATAGTTTATCAAAAAATTATCAAAAGTATACAAAATAATGAAAATTAAATTCAACAGCTAAAAATTATAAAATATCAGAAATTCTGATGTATCAGACCGTGGTGGCAGAGATCTCTGTACTGATAAGGGGAGATCACTGCGTTGGAGATTGTATATAGCCATGATAAAACTGCATGGTTGTACAGGCTGGTACTTTACTGGTGCCAAAGGATTATCATGTTTGGTTCTAGAAAAAGTAATTGATACTTTGTGTAAAAAATACATTTTAGTCATCGTCAAATACTATTATAATACTGTAGGTACAACAATTAAATGTACAATTTATGTAAAGTTTGTGTTACTTGAACAGATTTAAGTAAAACTATAGAAGTAAACAGTTGGCCGTGGCCGAAGGAAGCTGGAGAAGAGAAGATTTATAACAGTGCAGCGTTCGCCTCTGTTTTACTGATAGGAATGGCATTCTCGTATATCCCAGGTGGCATGAGTGTAGATCCTGTCAAAGATCGTGAAGTGAGTGAAATACCCTCGTTTGTATTGTTGTTAAAGGTAATGTTATTGTAACATCATTGACAGGAATTGTCATGTGGCAAGTTAGTATGTATAAGTAATATAGTGGATAGTCTACAATTATTATGAAACTTGAGATGTGAATTTGTGTTCTTCAGGTAAAATCTAAACCACTAATGTTGACATTAGATAATCATTATAATTTGTTTGTTGTTGTTGTTTTTTTTAATCTACAGGGTATCTTCTAGTGTTGTTTTAACTTCTAATTTTAGTTAAGATAATAAAGATAGACACTAATTTAAGTATTACCAATTTTAATTAATTCAGTATGAATGATTTGTCCTGCTTAGAACTGTCTATGGACAAGTTTAGGGATTTAATTATCAAGATGATAAAATTCTGCTGCCCAGAGTACCAAGCTGTGCAGCCAAGGTTAGCTCTACACTGGTGTTACATGTAAGACATTATGAAATTTTTTCAAAACGGCTTATATTAAGTTTTTTTTTATATATATGATCAGTACATGTGCTGGGATTGACAAATATGCATTTTATTTGGATTTTAAAGGCGTTTTGAGCTCCAAACCCCAAGTGTCTGTGCTCGTATTCAGTTTTTTAACTATAAATTTATCTTGTTGTTGCTTTTTTAGTTAAAGATACGAAGTCAGCTACGTGTGACAGGATTACCATTTACACTTTACTGGCTGACTTTCTTCACAGTGGATTTTGTTAAATTTCTAATACCAGTAGTTCTGTCAGTTATAGCAGTGTTTGTTATACAGGTATGTTAACATCATCAGTCTAACTATCATTTCATATACTCCAGTCATTTTGTTATACTATATAGCTTTAGTTGATGGGTCTTCCATGATCCTATATAGGCAACTCTCTATAAAAAGAGTATTTGTTTATTTTATTTCTTGAAGGGTTAGTGCTAAATGTACAGGGAGAGGCTACATTTTAGAAATAAGCACTGTTTTATTTGATTTGGTCATTAGACCAAACTAGCTTTAAGAAGGATGGTTATTCTATTGAGGTGCCTGTTTGTGGCTGAAGTAATGCACGGAGGTGTATCTGAGGTGTTCCTCCACCATTAAAGCTAGAATGTTGCAATATGACCATTACAGTTTTAGTGTGACTTAACACAGATACTTGGGGTTTGGAGCTCAAAACGCCTTTAAAATCCAAATAAAATGCATATTTGTCAATCCCAGCACATGTACTGATCATATATATCAAAAAAACTTAATATAAGCCGTTTTGAAAAAAAAATCATATTTCAACATCTATAATAATTATTATAGTTGTTGAAAAATGATTTTTTTTCAAAACGGCATATATTAAGATTTTTTGATATATATGATCAGTACATGTCCTGGGATTGACAAATATGCATTTTATTTGGATTTTAAAGGCGTTTTGCGCTCCAAACCCCAAGTATCTGTGTGACTTAAAACCTAAATCAAGCAGACTGTGTTGTGTTGGTATATTTCTAAAGATACATGTTCTCTATATAAAGATATTTAAATATCGTTTTTGTTTTTTTTCAGGTTGAAAGTTTAATGTACGGTGGTGCAGCATTCAGTTTTATACTGTTGTGTCTATTTTATATACCATCAAATATTCTACTAGCCTACACTTTCTCATTTCTGTTTGACAAGTTTGAGACCTGCCAGAGTGTTGCTCCTACCTTGTTTATTATGGTAACTTTTTATATATAATTCTTAAAACCTTTCTTGTTCTGCAATTTGAAATTTATGCAGAAGTTATATTTCAGTGTCTTCTTTTCATAAAAAAATGATATAACAAAATACTGATAGGCTATTTGTATAATATAGCAACTGATTAACTGAAATTTACATTCATTTTTATGCCTTTTCGCTGATACAAAAAATATATATTTTTGTATATTTATATATCAGTTGGGTTATATACCATAGATTTTTGTTTTTCTATATTACAGTTGGGTTATATACCATATACTTTTGTTTACTTATATTACAGCTGGGTTATATACCATATACTTTTGTTTACTTATATTACAGTTGGGTTATAAACCATAAATTTTTGTTTATTTATATTACAGTTGGGTTATATACCATATACTTTTGTTTATTTATATTACAGTTGGGTTATATACCATATACTTTTGTTTATTTATATTACAGCTGGGTGATATACCATATACCTGTGTTTATTTATATAACAGTTGGGTTATATACCATATACTTTTGTTTATTTATATAACAGTTGGGTTATATACCATATACTTTTGTTTATTTATATTACAGTTGGGTTATATACCATATACTTTTGTTTATTTATATTACAGTTGGGTTATATACCATATACTTTTGTTTATTTATATTACAGTTGGGTTATATACCATATACTTTTGTTTATTTATATTACAGTTGGGTAATATACCATATACTTTTGTTTATTTATATAACAGTTGGGTTATATACCATATACTTTTGTTTATTTATATTACAGTTGGGTTATATACCATATACTTTTGTTTATTTATATTACAGTTGGGTTATATACCATATACTTTTGTTTATTTATATTACAGTTGGGTTATATACCATATACTTTTGTTTTTCTATATTACAGTTGGGTTATATACCATACATCCCAATGGCAATAGTAGATATGATAGCAGATACATCTTCAGCCGAAATAATGCATTACATTTTCAGCTTTCTTATTCCACCATATAACATATTTGGAGGTTTATACTACATAGACAGGGTGAGTTTTGTCATCTTTTGTTTAATAGCTTTATCTTGATTTTTTTTCATAAGAAATGTTTTTAGTTACTTAAATGGGTTAAAACATCAAAAAACTATCATTTTGTAGCCATCATTATAAGGTCTGGTATATATATAAACCTGTACTGTCTGGCTGTATGTATTGGTAGCACTGTCTGGACGTTATCATCAGCAAGCACTTCATTTGTTTCTCTTGTTTTATCAGGTCACTGTTACATTTTGAACTTTTTATTTTAAATCCAGGAAAATTAAAGTCATTGGATAACCAAGGGATGCCAGGAGGTATTGAACAGGCTTGGGGGTGGGGGAAAAGAGAAGTATGGGGTACTGTTTCATTCAAGTAGGAAAAGTTGATATTCTCTACTTTTCATTAAATGCAACAGTGACCATATTTTGATTATGTTGTATTTTGATATTGTTACAATTGTTTTAACTTGTATTTATGTTGGAAAACTTTTAATGAAGACCACAAATATTTCATTATTTATGAATAGTGATGTGATTATTATACAAGAAACTTGTCTTATAACATGTTAATATAACATAATATGTTATACAACATATATTTGTAGATACACCAGAGAGCGTATTATATCAACCAAGAAGATTTCATCAAGTTTAATGATTATTTTAAATGGTCCAGTAATATCCCTATCTGTTATATCACAGTAAGTATACTACATGTACCTACTTTTTGTTTTAATTCTAATCTTAATGTTTTCTTTTGATATAATAGATATAGGTAAGCTTTGATCATTAAATGATGAATTAAAATGTATCATTGTATGTGAATACAGAAAAGAGGATTTCAGTGAATAAGAACAGGAAAAAAGGTTTTAATAACTGAAAAAGAGTATTTTAATGACTGAAAAAGAGTATTTTAATGACTGAAAAAGACAAAAAAGAGGTCTTTAATGAAAAATGACAGAAAAATAAGGTTTTATGAATAATGATACAAAAGAGATTTTTTTAAAGATAATGACAGAAAAAAGGTTTTTAATGAATAATGACAGAAAAGAGGTTTTTAAAATGAATAATGACAGAAAAGAGGTTTTAAAAATGAATAATGATATTATTTTTGTGTGTTTGTATTTCAGAGTATCATTCACATGTTTGTTTTCTTCTTCCTGATGAGAGTTTTGGATATTAAGAAGACAGGTGGTGATGTGAAGGAGGCTTGTTTACCAGGAAAATCTCAGTCCACTGTTATACCAGTCAGTAATCTGGATATTGTTGAACAAGAAGATGAAGACGTTACTGCAGAACGTGAACGTGTCAGAGATCTGAGCAGAAGATCACCAAATGAGGTATATAATTTATCATTGTTTTGTCTGAACATGATTGGCAGTTGAGCTTTATCTTAAGATAATAAACTTATAATGACGGAGGGTTGGTGTTGAGGGTTGTTTTAGGAAGGTATTAAGACATTGGGAATGTTTAACTGTCAAAAGTTGATATATAAAAGTTAAGGCAAACAAATATAAAATGTTGATATAGATTATGTAAATATAATTGTAGACAACCGGATGATATTACTTTCTGCACCACAATTCTGTATCTATTTTTGTTCTTAGATATTATTTGCAAAAAAAAAATAGTTTGTTTCAATTGTGGTTTTATAAAAGAAACACTACAAATTTGACATGTATATATATATGTTCTATTATGCAGTTACCAGTTGCTGTAGCAGAAAACCTTCGTAAAGAATTTAGTAAAGATGGTGGAGAGGGATGTTGTAAGAGAAATAAGAAGGCGGAGTCAGTGAAGGTTGCCGTTAGAAACCAGACATTTGCTGTAGAAGCTGGGGAGGTGTTTGGACTGTTAGGACCAAATGGAGCCGGGAAAACAACAACGTTAAATATGATGATAGCTGATGTTAGCCCCGACAAGGGGAAGGTTTGTAGATCTTGATATTATTGTCATAGTATATCAGAACATGTCAGTCCTGACAAGGGGAAGGTTTGTAGATCTTGATATTATTGTCATAGTATATCAGACCATGTCAGTCCTGACAAGGGGAAGGTTTGTAGATCTTGATATATATGTCATAGTATATGTTTTATTATGACATTTTGCTTTTTGAAAGATTGGGCTCTACTTTGAAAACGTTCTAAACTTAAAGGGACCCCACTGAGGGTTTTTGATATGACGGGACTGGAAATAATTTTTTGAAATCATTACTCCATTTGATGTAGATCTATACTGATAACTTATGTGCAAAATTTCAGATCATTAGCTCGATCCGTTTTTCCAGAATAATTATTATAATAGTGAAAAATGACCCAAAATTGAAAAGTGTTTAAACACTTTTCACCCAAACTGGACTGAGAATAGCACAAAAATATGATTTTTAATGTATTTCTTGTATATTTCTTAGTTATATTTTATTTATATATCTTTTTTAAGTGATCATGTTTATCTATGTGAAACATTAAAATTTTATGTTTTTAGGCTTATAAACCTCAGTGGAGTTCCTTTAAGTTGTTCATTTTGTCCAACATAAACATTGATGGCTTATAATGAATTTCTAGTTATTGTCAAATACTCAGGGATCGCTTGTTTGGATTTCAGCATTGTTATAGAAGATAAAGTAGACAGGACAGTATATAAGTTATAAGTACAAGTGCTTTTCATCCCAATGTGCATAAACTTATGTTTATATCAGGTTTTAGTTTATGCTTATGTTTATTTCAGGTTATAGTTAAATGATGTTTATGTTTATTTCAGGTTATAGTTGGTGGCTATGATATAAGATCAAGTATGTCAAACGCGTTCCAGGCCATGGGCTATTGTCCACAACATGATGCATTATGGTTAGAAATGACACTGAAGGATCACCTTGATTGTTACGCTATTATTAGAGGAATTCCTGAACATCTTATTCCAGAAGTTACAAACTTGTAAGCTATGAATATATACAATGCATTTTGAAATTTTTAAACACAAAAATATGTTATTTATAGTTATAGAATAGATGAAGGAAATCTTATTTTAAATCACATAGTTTATAAGTCATCATATTGTTTTGAATCTTACCATACTGTTACATTTAATCATATAGTATGTAACCTTATTAATTTTAACCTGTGGTTTCGAATTTTAATGCAACTTCTACTTTTTTCTTACTTAATGTCTGTAAATTTACAGATACAAAAATCTGTAAAATTATGGCTCATCCAAAAATTTACAGACTATCTGTAAATATCATGAAATCATAGACCTGTTTATCCTGTATTATTTTATCCTACATAATCTCATGGGGAACACACTTGAAAACATAGATATTTTTAATAAAGCCTCCAAAATATTAATGCAAAATATTTCAATAATTAGAAGGGCAAGTAAAAGTTGAGCTGGACTAGTTCTTTGAAAAATAACACTGAAAAACAGTTGTTTCTGGTGAGTGACTCAGGGCCCTCATTGCCCTCTTGTTGTTTTTATTTTTTGTGAGGAAGCTATCCAGTTAGCTTATGAAACATCTACTGTATGTGCCTGTTTGTGCCTGAAATAACTGAAAAATTGAAAATACAATGTATATTGAAGATATCAATAATTTATGTTCTTGCAGTTTTATTGATAATTTGAAGCTAGATGAACATAAAATGAAGAAAGCTAAGGATTTATCTGGAGGAACTAAAAGAAAGGTATGCAGAATAACTTAATAAAGTATGGCTTGCTTGAATGGTAAAATATCAAAACCTAGTCACAAGTAGGCCATCCTTGAAAATAAGCCAATCATCTCTTACCAAAATGTAAAATAAGCCACAGCTTGTTATCAGATTTTAAGGGTATTTTCTTAAAACTATTGTAAAAATAAAATCATTTTTTATACAATAGATAAGGTGATAGAATCAGAAAATGTCAAAAATGGCTGTGGTTGATTTGGAATTTTTCATAATCTTCAATCAGTGATCATTTGAAGATAGGCTAATTTACCATTCAACACCACGCAGAGAACCTCTTTCCTATACAACATTATGAATAATAAATGTAATTGTTGTTCAGTTGACTTTTATGTTAGAATCTTGTTCATTTATAGTTGTAATGGTAAGTTAATAGAAACAAAATTGATTTTTACTTGTCTCTAAAATGAATTGTAATTCAGAGATTTCTAAGAATCTAAGGAATCTATCATAATTTATATATAATTATGATGTTTTTGTTACAGTTGAGTTATTGTATGAGTATGTTAGGTCGACCAAAAGTTGTGTTGTTAGATGAACCCTCTACTGGCATGGATCCTCAATCTAAGAGATTTCTATGGTAAGTTGTACATTCTGTCTAGAGATTAACTTTCAACATTCTGTATTTATAATTTATAACCATTTGTTCATTACAAGATATCAAATCAAGTTACAAGTTTTCAAGAAGATGTTCATTATAAGGTTATCATGATAAAGTGGTTGTCATTGTCATTATGGTTTAATCACTAGTAACTTATGCTAGAGTTGAAATATAATCACCTTTTTATATGGTATTGATCACTTTTGGACAAATGATCACTATGTAATAGTTGATCACTATTTGACGATCACTATTTGACAGTAGATCACTTGTTGACAATTGATCTTTATTTGACAATTGATCACTATTTGACAATCACTATTTGACAGTAGATCACTATTTGACAATTGATCACTATTTGACAATTGATCACTATTTGACAATTGATCACTATTTGACAATTGATCACTATTTGACAATTGATCACTTTTTGACAATTGATCACTATTCGACAATTGATCACTATTTGACAATTGATCACTATTTGACAATTGATTACTATTTGACAGTGGATCACTATTTGACAGTTGATAACTATTTACATTGATCACAATTTTGTCCTTTATGATAAAGTTATATGCCATATTTTCAGGGATACTATGACAGTTTTGAGAATTCTGATTGGGGAGCTATATTAACTACACATTATATGCCATATTTTCAGGGATACTATGACAGTTTTGAGAATTCTGATCGTGGAGCTATATTAACTACACATTATAATTATGTTATATTTTCAGGGATACTATATCTAACAGTTTTGAGAATTCTGATCGGGGAGCTATATTAACCACACATTATATGTTATATTTTCAGGGATACTATATCTAACAGTTTTGAGAATTCTGATCGGGGAGCTATATTAACTACACATTATAATTATGTTATATTTTCAGGGATACTATATCTAACAGTTTTGAGAATTCTGATCGGGGAGCTATATTAACCACACATTATATGTTATATTTTCAGGGATACTATATCTAACAGTTTTGAGAATTCTGATCGTGGAGCTATATTAACTACACATTATAATTATGTTATATTTTCAGGGATACTATATCTAACAGTTTTGAGAATTCTGATCGGGGAGCTATATTAACCACACATTATATGTTATATTTTCAGGGATACTATATCTAACAGTTTTGAGAATTCTGATCGGGGAGCTATATTAACTACACATTATATGATATATTTTCAGGGATACTATATCTAACAGTTTTGAGAATTCTAATCGGGGAGCTATATTAACTACACATTATATGGAGGAAGCAGATGCCCTGTGCTCTAGAATTGCTATCATGGTCAATGGAACTATGGAGTAGGTTACATAACTCTTGTTTATCTGTATATTCCATCTGAACAATATAAATTATTTCCCTTGAATACTCATTGAATCGTAAAGTATGCTAAACTTCTTGGTGACTCTGTTTTCATTTCATTCTTATTGTGATGGAATTCAGCAAATATTTGGCAATATTTTACATGTATTAAATTTCTGCTACATTGCTTTAGATGTTACAAAGTAATCTCGTATTATGTAAACATCTATAGTCTCAAATACAGAGTACACTATATAACTCTGAGAAAAGAGAGACCCCTTGACTGCAATAACAAGAAAAAGAAAATTTGTACAAATTACAGGCCAAGTTTGGTAAGCCTGTTGATCAAAAATTTAACTTGTCATATTACTGCTATCTTATTGCTAGAACTTTTTGGTAATCATCATCATATTTTCCCACTTATTTACATGTACATGTATATGTTTTATGAAATATAAAATCAGCAGTAATTCATGATTATTTTGTGTTGTAGATGTTTAGGGTCTAGTCAGCATTTAAAAAGTAAATACGGAAGTGGTTATTCCCTCGAGATCAAGTTGAATGCCGACGAAAATGATGATGATGAAATTTTACGACAAAAAATGGAACGTTTACATGGCTACATACGAGAATTATTCCCAGAAGCTGTGGTTACCGAACAGTTCAGTGAGCGTGTTCAATATAAAATACCGAAATCTAACGTGGAGACATTGTCTAGAACCTTTACTGTTCTTGAGCAAGGTGATATATTAATTTTGTCTTTGTTTGAAAATAATTTAATTATAATATAAAGTAAAAATAATATAAAAGGGCTTCTGTGGGTGATTGGTTGAGTTAACTTGCATGACCACTTGTCCCATACCGCTACAGGTTCAAAGCCCACTAGAAACTGCAGGGAAGCCATTTAGTTGGCTTACAGAGTGTTAATGGGTCTACTATGGTGTCTTCTTGTTCCTGACATAAGAGAGGCATCTGAGGGTTACATTAGATCTTTCTTCTTAAGTTACTCTGCTCATTTTACACTGTGAACTTATCCTTCTTGAAATTGAGAATTGTACAATGTAAGGTTGATGAATTTCGATATGAAAATGTTCTTCAATATGTAGACAATACAAGTAACATAACTGAATAGACACATTATCTTTACAACTTTATTCTTTATATCTGTATCTGTAATGTTAAATTTCCTGTATATTAAATTTTCAGAGATTTATCATGTAATTATTTTCAGTCTGTGACTTTAGCACTAGCTCAATAGCCAATGGCTAGTATATTTTGGTCAGAACCCTAAAATTTTCCAAGTCAGTCAGCTAAGTTTATGAAACTGAAATGACTGACTTTCTAATGGAACAACTAGTTAATTCTCAATTAATTTAGGGAAAAGAATTACAAAGTAGATATACAAAAATTAGTCATTATTCTTGATTTTACCTTCACCTTCAAACTTTAACATATTTGGGTTGTAAAAACATAAATGGTATATATTGCCAAGCACTAGACCCTAAATGCTTTTGACCATATTTTAAGCTTATTTTTTTTTTAATATGTATACGTGTCTGATTTTCAAGGGGTGATCAATCTTATTGGACTTTTTATAAGGCTGATTTAGGATTACCTCCCTTTATTCGTATATTTGATATCATTCATCAGAAATGTGATGAATTTGAAGCAAGTACAGATTTTATAAAAAAATTATTTGTGTTGGTTGGTATATCATTTAACAAAAAATTAGAAATAGATAAGTGTAGTTTGTATGAGAATTCTTGTCTTGTTTGCATTTAATTTTTCATTAATAAACATGACATGGCACTCCTATGATATACCATCTCTATCGATACTTACAATCATTATGAAATCATCATTTCATCATAACAACAACCAATTTTTGATGGTGTGTTCAAGAGAATACACTAACTGAAACTTTTTAATTTAAGGAAAGCTTTTTTCCCATGCTAATTTAAAAAAACTCTAAATTGCTGAATGAAAATTAATGTCAATTGTTGAATAAATGCTCCTCTTAGCAAACTCGGCATATACATGTTACATTTCTAGAACATTATCACCAAAACATATAAGACATAATTATATATATATCAGCACCATTCTAATTCTGAACCCATTATTTTACACCAGTTTATCATTTCACTGTTTAAAGCTGTGTTTTATAAAATATCATATGTAAAAATATTTTGCCATGGATATAAATACTAACAGTTCTATTAGTTTCATCAAGTTGAGGTTTTTTTAATGGATAGTGTTGTAAATCTGAGTAACTATTGTGCAATTTAAAAGGAAACACCCAATTAAGGTTACATTAAGTTTGTATACAAATTTTTATATGTAAATTAGGAATATAAAATCAGTGCTTGCATGAGTACAGGTATTGACCTATTTTAAGTTTTAAAATAACTACATGTAATGACGATACTGAAACTTGATTACATCAATCGAAACACCTTTGGTGACTTGTCTGAAACTTGTTTACATCAATGGGAAAACCTTTGGTGACTTGTCTGAAACTTGTTTACATCAATGGGAACACCTTGGGTGACTTGTCTGAAACTTATTTACATCAATGGGAACAACTAGGGTGATTTGTCTGAAACTTGTTAACATCAATTGAAACACCTTTGGTGACTTGTCTGAAACTTGTTTACATCAATGGGAACACCTTGGGTGACTTGTCTGAAACTTATTTACATCAATCAGAACACCTATGGTGACTTGTCTGAAACTTGTTTACATCAATCAGAACACCTTTGGTGACTTGTCTTAAACTTGTTTACATCAATGGGAACACCTTGGGTGACTTGTCTGAAACTTGTTTACATCAATTGAAACACCTTTGGTGACTTGTCTGAAACTTATTTACATCAGTGGGAACACCTTTGGTGACTTGTCTGAAACTTGTTTACATCAATGGGAACACCTTGGGTGACTTGTCTGAAACTTATTTACATCAATCAGAACACCTATGGTGACTTGTCTGAAACTTGTTTACATCAATCAGAACACCTTGGATGACTTGTCTGAAACTTGTTTACATCAATGGGAACACCTTGGGTGACTTGTCTGAAACTTGTTTACATCAATCGGAACACCTTGGGTGACTTGTCTAAAACTTGTTTTCATCAATGGGAACACCTTCGGTGACTTGTCTGAAACTTGTTTACATCAATCAGAACACCTTCGGTGACTTGTCTGAAACTTGTTTACATCAATCAGAACACCTTGGGTGACTTGTCTGAAACTTGTTTACATCAATCGAAACACCTTTGGTGACTTGTCTGAAACTTGTTTACATCAATTGGAACACCTATGGTGACTTTTCTGAAACTTGTTTACATCAATCGAAACACCTTTGGTGACTTGTCTGAAACTTGTTTACATCAATGGGAACACCTTTGGTGACTTATCTGAAACTTGTTTACATCAATGGGAACACCTTGGGTGACTTTCTGAAACTTGTTTACATCAATGGGAACACCTTGGGTGACTTGTCTGAAACTTGTTTACATCAATGGGAACACCTTGGGTGACTTGTCTGAAATTTGTTTACATCAATGTAAAACACCTTTAGTGACTTGTATAAAACTTGTTTACATCAATCAAAACACCCTGGGTGACTTGTCTGAAACTTGCTTACATCAATTAGAACACCTTCGGGTGACTTGTCTGAAACTTGCTTACATCAATTAGAACACCTTTGGGTGACTTGTATGAAACTTGTTTATATCGATCGGAACACCTTAGGTGACTTGTCTAAAACTTGTTTACATCAATCGAAACACCTTAGGTGACTTGTCTAAAACTTGTTTACATCAATCGAAACACCTTTGGTGACTTGTCTGAAAATTGTTTACATCAATTGGAATACTTTGAGTGACTTGTCTGAAACTTGCTTACATTGAACACCTTTGCATGGTGACTTGTTATTAGAATATAATTGGGTTGTAAATTTATCATATAAAATAAACCAGCTAATTTTCCTTTGTTTGTAACATAACTATTACAACATTTCTTCACCCTAAAAAGTATTTGTTTAATATGTTTTATTACAGGACTTTCAAATAGAAATTATATTTGAAAGACGCTGTTTATGATTATAGAATTGGTTGTTATAAAATATCATGGTAGACAATTTTTTTAACATCTGCCAAGGGGGATCAATCTTTTGGAATATTTACCAGACTTATACTATTTGTAGTTACCTCCCTTTATTGATGTATTTATAAAATATATAGGAAATTCAATGAATTCAACGCAAGAAAAGATTAAAATAAAAGTGTTTTTTCCATCAAATTGAATATTTTGACTAATGTTTTAAAAATAGCAAAGTAAAACGAGTATAAAAAATACTTGTTTCTTTTGCACATTTTATTTGGTTATAAACAATATGTGAGTAATAACATTGTCTATTTCGCCCTGAATTTTGCGAAAAATTTTGGTCATGCATTTCCTAGTAAATGCATTTTGCTTATTTGAAAGGACGACATTTGGTAATGACACAGTCTCAGAAATGCTGTTTTTTTATCTATTTATTTTTCAAAAGCTCATTAACCTTTTACCCCATGAGCATATTGGGGAAAAATGGCCGTTTTCATTGAAAAGCCTCCTGTAACAAGTTCAAACTTCTATGAAACTATGAAAAATGCTTCAATACTGATGAAACTTGGCACAAATGTTGACTACACCATAGCCTCTGTAACAGCATGCTCAATCGTAAATTTTCTGTTACCATGGCAACGGGGGGGACGTCTCAAAATTGCCAAAAATCACTATTTTGCATTGTTTTTTTCCATCAAAACTGATTTCAAAGTGCTGCAACTTCTCAATGAATTGAGATAAATTAAAAGGCTTAAACCCTAAGATCGACCTGAAGTTATTTTTAGCTTGTCACATTTTCAAAATTTTCTTGGCAATGAGGGGGACTCCGCCCCCTTCAAACCCCCCAAACGGGGCACACCCCCCTTCTGGCAACCCCCTGATGTAACATTTGCATTGGGGACAGCGCCGAAAAATTGGTCACTTTTGTTAACAACATTTCTCAAACAAAAACCAGTGTTTTGGGCCTAAATAGGAATAGAAAAGGGGGGGGGGGGCAAAAAGCCGTCGAAACACGCTTATATAAGGGAAAAGGTTAAACCCCACCAAATATTAGTTGGGTGGTGGAGGGCGTATATACATGTAGAGATCACTTTGTATCAAGATATTAATGGAAACTTGGAACATCAAAGCAATATCACAATGCAACTGTTTATATCAAGTTTCTCAAAGCTGCACGCTTAGATGACCCAAAATATTTCAAGAAAATCAATATTGAGAGTAGTGCATTAAACTATTAACAAAGGTAAAAGCATTCAAGATCCAAGTTAAATTTTACATGTTATTATTTAAACATTGATAGATATAAAACCCATGTCTGCCTTTTCTAATGAAAAATAAACCATTATTGCTTCTGAGGTAAAGCATTCGTTAAATCTATTGAAAAGGTTATTTTATATCTTTTGTTATTTATGTTTCAGGAAAGTTAAAGTATGATATTGCAGAGTACAGTTTTAGTCAGTCAACTTTAGAACAGGTTGGTTGTCGCTTCATTATCTTAAACATTTATGTTGACTTAAATAATATCTATAAATTATTATATTTTTGTTAATTAATAAGTACATTATTTTGTCTGTACTTTATTCATTACAATCTGTGCCAATAACTTGTTAAGGGACAATAGTTTCTTATTTAACATAATTGATACCAATATAACATGCCCAACTTAGACAAGTGAGTCTAGAATCTGTTAATTGATTTTAGATAAAATTGCTATTAATTTATTATCCCCTGCTGATTGAATCGGGAGGGGGATATAGTTTTGGCGTTGTCCTTCCATCCATCCGTCTGTCCAAATTTTGTTTCCGGACTAGTTCTCTGCAACTACTGACTGGAATTCAACGAAACTTTATGGGTATCATCAATATCAAGAGGAGATGTGCATATCGTCGGCTTGTTTTGGTCAGACCCTTTAACTCAGAGTTCCAGTCAGACCCTTTAACTCAGAGTTATGACCCTTGATTAGTTATGTAGTATGCATATAGAGTAAAAATCGTTTCCCCACTACTTCTCTGCAACTGCTGGCTGGAATTCAACGAAACTTTATGGGAACCTTCAATACCAAGATGAGATGCCCATATCGTTGGCTAGTTCCGGTCAGTCACTTTAACTCAGAGTTATGGCCCTTGATTAGTTATGCAGTATGCATATAGAGTAAAAATCGTTACCGCGCCATTTCTCTGCAACTGCTGGCTGGAATTCAACGAAACTTTATGGGAATCTTCAATACCAAGAGAAGATGCGCATATCATTGCCTTGTTGGGGTCAGACATTTTAACTCAGAGTTATGGCCCTTGATTAGTTATGCAGTATGCATATAGAAAAATATTTGTTTCCTTGCTTCTTCTCTGCAACTACTGGCTGGAATTCAATGAAACTTTATTGGAACCTTCAATACCAAGAGGAGATGCGCATATTTTTGCCTTGTCAGGTCAGACATTTTAACTTAAAGTTATGGCCTTTGATAACTTATGCAGTATTCATCCAGAGCAATAATCGTTTCCGTGCTACTTCTCTGTAACTACTGGCTGGAATTCAATGAAACTTTATGGGATACTAAGAGGAGATGTGCATATAGTCGCCTTGTTCCGGTCAGATACTTATAACTCAGATTTATGGCCCTTGATTAGTAATGCAGTATACATACATCTCATTGGCATTTCCAGATAATACTTTTTAACACAGAGTTATGGCTCTGTTATTGCCCTGAATATTTATCAAGTTCAAAGAATGTTACTGTTTATGCCATGATTAATATATAAATAAAGCTTTATGTCTTCAGTTGTTGTGTTAGTAATAACCAGTACTCGGCAGGGGCTATAAATTCAACAAATTTGCTTTTATTATATAATAGTGTTGAAGATTATTTATCCATCTTTGAGTTGGACTTAAAGTTCTCTTACTGTATTTCTGAAATAATATTTAGTATATCTATCTTAGTTATAGATATGTTAACTAAATTGAATGTCTGCAAGAGAACTTAGGTCAGACTTTACCATAACAATCCCCCTGAGACTGTTTTTCTATAGTATCTTTAATGTTTATAACAACTAGCAATTGTTGTTTATTATTCAGGTATTTTTGGAGTTTGCCAAACAGCAGCTTGAGGAAGGACAGAGTGACAAAGAAGATAATGTAGAACGTACAAAATCCTTGATGAGATCCATGTCACAAGAGTCCCCGTCACATCATGCCACATCCCCTGTTAGACTCTAATGTCACATCCCCTGTAAGACTCTAATGTCACACAACCCTGTTAGACTTTAATGTCATATCCTGTGTTAGACTTTAATGTCAGTTATATAGACTATAATTTCACAGCCCCTGGTAGACTATAATGCTACATCTCCTGCCAGACCTCAATGATAACATTCAGTGTTGGACTTTAACATCACAGAGTTGTTAGAATTGTTGTAAATAAATGATTTTCAATTGTTGATTTTAATTTATACATATGCCTTATTTTTACATTTTGTTATACGGTTTTGTTATTGAGCCAGCTCAATTCATGCTTCTATATTAATTATTTACTATGATGTTTTAACCTTTTAAATGTGATCTTATGTTTAAAGAGAAATTTAACTTACATTAATATGTGTCTCATTATATTTACTTACATATAACCTTTATCAGAAATGTATTTACTACATGATGTTATGTTGATGAAGATGTATCTGTGTTAATTAAGAAGTTACTATTAAGTGTAGTTACAAAGATGGACCTGTGTTGAGGTGTTAATATTGTGTAGTTACAAAGATGGACCTGTGTTGAGGTGTTAATATTGTGTAGTTACAAAGATGGACCTGTGTTGAGGTGTTTATATTGTTTAGTTACAAAGATGGACCTGTGTTGAGGTGTTTATATTGTATAGTTACAAAGATGGACCTGTGTTGAGGTGTTTATATTGTTTAGTTACAAAGATGGACCTGTGTTGAGGTGTTTATATTGTATAGTTACAAAGATGGACCTGTGTTGACAACTCAATGTCTGTTTACAAAGATAGACATGTATTGTACATTCTATGGACAGTGGCAAATAATTATGTGACATGTCAACCATGATATAGTTTTTCCCACATTTTTCTACATATTGTAAATTATTTGAACTATTTTAAGATAAATACATATCACAAATATAATTATTTATTACTCATTTGACTTGCAAAGATTTTTGTATTTTTTTTTAAAGATTATTTTACTGCTGTTTTCTTCTTTGTCTTACATAGATAAACCTCATCTGATTTTCCTTTTACTTTCACATAGAGTTTAAATAGACAAGATATGTGAATTATTATACCTAGAACAAACAATTCTCAGGTGTTTTATTCAGATTAAATCTGTATTTAAAGTGATGGTGGGTGATAGTAAATTCATAGCTGGATTTGTTTTTGTTATGCAGATACTTCTTTGATGGGGCTTTTTTGTACTTCTTACTTTGATTTTATTTTTTTCATATAAATAAAAGTAAAAATAAGTAAAGATTTACAAGATTAAATTATTTGTCATGTTGTTTCAGTTACTAGGGCTGTCAATGAATATGTTCAGTTAAGGTTTGTTACATTATACTAATAATTGTTTCGTTACAACATCTGATATATGTTGTAATTTGGTATAATTATATAGAGGATATTGGTGTGTTGTAACAATATAAAAGTGTCTTTTTCTTCTGATTTTAATACAAGATGACAGATGCTTCATATATTCCAAACTAATCAAACTTAAACGCTTTGCAAGATGGTGTTAGAATATTATAACTTTTGCTAATTGGGCACACTATTTTGTGGCTAGATCAATCCACAAATTTGGGGTCCAACAAAATTTTATTCAGTCTATTGTAGAATTATTTATGTTTCATTATTTGCACTTTACCTTTTTTCAAAAACAGACATTTTCAAATTTAAAAAACCGTGAAAAATGTCCTTTTGACAAAAGCACAAAATTTTATACCCATGAAATTAAGTGAATTTACAGTAGTTAAGTTTATTTTAGATTGTTTAGGTTCATTGTCAAGTTTCTGGCACTAGTCACTATTGGTGTCCTACAGGAACATATATACATGTCCCCAGTAGGGTTGTGTGTGTATTTCAGTTTATTTATACTCACCACTGGTTGCCCATATGGGCAAGTCCTCCAGAAGAGTATTGGTCATTTTAGATCTTTGGAGGATAGTGCAATTATAGGTCATACAGAAAGATGCCCCAATTCCAGATGCTTCTTCTAGTTCTTTAGCGTGCTAAGAGTTTAAGCACCCATACACGAGACCTTGATTTAAAGTCTCATCCGAAAGACTGATTAGTAATTTTAGTTGGCCAGCCCGGGAATCAAACCCACAATGTTGAGAATACAAGTCTCGCACTCTAACCAATTGAGCAATGCGGGCTGGCAACCAGTAAAGCTGAAGCCCATGATTCCATGGCAGATACCAGTACTTATTAGGCTAGTGTTCCTCGGGTCTTATGTTTATTTTATAATAATTTTGATATATATACATATGTATATATATATATATATAATATATATATATAATATTATATATATTATATATATATATATATATTATATACATATATATATATATATATATATATATATATAATACTGTGCTTTTATAAACCATTTAAGTTTATTTATCTTTTGTTTTTATATTAAATAATTATATATGACATAGGTGCTATGTTTTTCTATGATAAGATTTTATTGTTAATATATTTTTATAATAAATCTGGGCTGTTCCTTATTTTCATGCTCCACCAATTCATCAAAGATGTAACTGTAGTAAAGGGACATAACTATATTCATATTGCTTGTTAATTATTGTATATGAGACCATTTGTCTTGCCAATACTGTTAAAATTATCATAAAATATTCTCTTTGACAATCAAGAACAAACTAACTATCTAGCACTCATTTACTATATACATGTATAACAGCTGTGTGAAATAAATCAATTCCCAGTCTGCTGAATTAATGTTGCTAAGATTGGGAATAAAACGTTGTTAAATAAAACTTAAAATAAAAATTAATTATAAGAACTAAGACCTTATTGTAAGAATATATGATTTTATGTTTCCCTTGTGTTTAGATTTCTAGTCATATTATGTAACAATTGTTAACTGTCAATAAGCAATCTTACACATTGATAGTAATATTTTGTTTATACTTTTTAGATTTAGAAAATTTACTTTTATTTTGCTTACACAAAAGTTACATAACTCTGATGTGCCTGTTATTTATACAAGTTCATATATATATAAGTTTAAGTTGTAGACATATCAGTTTGGGGGGTGGGGGGGGGGGGGTATAGTTCGTTATTTGTATTTTGTTATTGTTAGAAAATTGAAGACATGTAGAAGCATAATGTAGTCTGGATTTTTTTTCTTGATTTAGAGTTGACAATATATACCTGTGTCTTGTGTTTTATTTTTGTATTTTAATGTTTTACTTGATAATGTGATTCAGAATACATGTGTTTTATAAGACATATTTTATGCTTGAATTTTAAAATAATGCCTTTTCCTTAACTTGCTGTATTTGGAAATATGTTATTGATATAATTAAAATATGTGTTGTTATAAGATACATGTATACAGTTTTGTTATCATTCTAATCATGGAAATGTTTATGTCCATTGTTGCATTGAGCAAGAAACTTTACACTGATTGCTTAGTACTGGTTGGTTCCAGTTTTGTTGAGTAAGAAACTTTACTCTCATTGCTTAGTACTGACTGGTTCCAGTTTTGTTGAGTAAGAAACTTTACTCTCATTGCTTAGTACTGATTGGTTCCAGTTTTGTTGAGTAAGAAACTTTACTCTCATTGCTTAGTACTGGCTGGTTCCAGTTTTGTTGAGTAAGAAACTTTACTCTCATTGCTTAGTACTGATTGGTTCCAGTTTTGTTGAGTAAGAAACTTTACACTCATTGCTTAGTACTGATTGGTTCCAGTTTTGTTGAGTAAGAAACTTTACTCTCATTACTTAGGACTGGTTGGTTCGAGTTTTGTTGAGTAAGAAACTTTACTCTCATTGCTTAGTAACTGGTTGGTTCGAGTTTTTTGTTGAGTAAGAAATGGTTCAGTTTATTGAGTAAGAACTTTACACTCATTACTTAGGACCGGTTGGTTCGAGTTTTGTTGAGTAAGAAACTTTACTCTCATTGCTTAGTACTGATTGGTTCCAGTTTTGTTGAGTAAGAAACTTTACACTCATTACTTAGGACTGGTTGGTTCGAGTTTTGTTGAGCAAGAAACTTTACTCTCATTGCTTAGTACTGATTGGTTTTCCAGTTTTGTTGAGTAAGAAACTTTACTCTCATTGCTTAGTACTGATTGGTTCGAGTTTTCTTGAGTAAGAAACTTTACACTCATTACTTAGGACCGGTTGGTTCGAGTTTTGTTGAGTAAGAAACTTTACTCTCATTGCTTAGTACTGATTGGTTCCAGTTTTGTTGAGTAAGAAACTTTACACTCATTGCTTAGTACTGGTTGGTTCCAGTTTTGTTGAGTAAGAAACTTTACTCTCATTGCTTAGTACTGACTGGTTCCAGTTTTGTTGAGTAAGAAACTTTACTCTCATTGCTTAGTACTGTCTGGTTCCAGTTTTGTTGAGTAAGAAACTTTACACTGATTGCTTAGTACTGGTTGGTTCCAGTTTTGTTGAATAACTTTCAGTCATTGCTTAGTACTGTCTGGTTCCAGTTTTGTTGAGTAAGAAACTTTACTCTCATTGCTTAGTACTGACTGATTCCAGTTTTGTTGAGTAAGAAACTTTACTCTCATTGCTTAGTACTAACTGGTTCCAGTTTTGTTGAGTAAGAAACTTTACTCTCATTGCTTAGTACTGATTGGTTCCAGTTTTGTTGAGTAAGAAACTTTACACTCATTGCTTAGTACTGGCTGGTTCCAGTTTTGTTGAGTAAGAAACTTTACACTCATTGCTTAGTACTGATTGGTTCCAGTTTTGTTGAGTAAGAAACTTTACTCTCATTGCTTAGTACTGGTTGGTTCGAGTTTTGTTGAGTAAGAAACTTTACTCTCATTGCTTAGTACTGATTGGTTCGAGTTTTGTTGAGTAAGAAACTTTACTCTCATTGCTTAGTACTAACTGGTTCCAGTTTTGTTGAGTAAGAAACTTTACTCTCATTGCTCAGTACTGATTGGTTCCAGTTTTGTTGAGTAAGAAACTTTACACTCATTGCTTAGTACTGGCTGGTTCCAGTTTTGTTGAGTAAGAAACTTTACACTCATTGCTTAGTACTGGCTGGTTCCAGTTTTGTTGAGTAAGAAACTTTACTCTCATTGCTAAGTACTGATTGGTTGCAGTTTTGTTGAGTAAGAAACTTTACTCTCATTGCTTAGTACTGGCTGGTTCCAGTTTTGTTGAGTAAGAAACTTTACTCTGATTGCTTAGTACTGATTGGTTCCAGTTTTGTTGAGTAAGAAACTTTACTCTCATTACTTAGGACTGGTTGGTTCCAGTTTTGTTGAGTAAGAAACTTTACTCTCATTGCTTAGTACTGATTGGTTCCAGTTTTGTTGAGTAAGAAACTTTACAGTCATTGCTTAGTACTGACTGGTTCCAGTTTTGTTGAGTAAGAAACTTTACTCTCATTGCTTAGGACTGGTTGGTTCGAGTTTTGTTGAGTAAGAAACTTTCAATCATTGCATAGTACTGACTGGTTCCAGTTTTGTTGAGTAAGAAACTTTACTGTCATTGCTTAGTACTGATTGGTTTCCAGTTTTGTTGAGCAAGAAACTTTACTCTCATTGCTTAGTACTGACTGGTTCCAGTTTTGTTGAGTAAGAAACTTTACTCTCATTGCTTAGTACTGACTGGTTCCAGTTTTGTTGAGTAAGAAACTTTACTCTCATTGCTTAGGACTGGTTGGTTCGAGTTTTGTTGAGTAAGAAACTTTACTCTCATTACTTAGGACTGGTTGGTTCCAGTTTTGTTGAGCAAGAAACTTTACTCTCATTACTTAGGACTGGTTGGTTCCAGTTTTGTTGAGTAAGAAACTTTACTCTCATTGCTTAGTACTGATTGGTTCCAGTTTTGTTGAGTAAGAAACTTTACACTCATTGCTTAGTACTGACTGGTTCCAGTTTTGTTGAGTAAGAAACTTTACACTCATTGCTTAGTACTGACTGGTTCCAGTTTTGTT